CAGGATCCCAGTGTCCCCATGGGACACAGTATATTGCTCTGGTGCTCCCACCCTCAGGCCCCTGACCATTTACCCCAGCTCTGTAGCTTCATGTTATGACGTGTCCACGGACTGCAGGCCCCTCCGACCAGGCCACGCTGCCTGCTCCAATGTGTGGTGACGACAGTCCTTCCCTGAATGAAAGCAACAGGCCAACCATTCTGTCTGGCTGCCCAGCCCCTGAGCTGGTATTACTGCCTCACGTTTCCTTTGTGTCGTTATTTGAGGGCTGTCATTTTGGTTGTGTTTCCCCGTGGCTGTAGCCACGTGCGGTGTTCTCGGACTGGCCTCCAGACCTGAGGGCGAGCTCTCTGAAGGCACCGTAGGTGGTGCTGCTGAGGACCTCTGTGGAGAGAGGAGGGGTCCCCAGAGCCTGTCTGGAGAGAAACAGGAGGGAGGTTGGGAGGCTTCTAGAGGTGGGGTTACACTGCCACTGACGCCCCAGGTGTGTGAGGGCAGGGCCCACCCTCTGCTGACATGTCAGTCTGCGTGTGAGCACAGCACCCCAGAGCCATGCGTTTGTTGGTCTGGACCATGGGGTTCGTTATGGGTTCCATGAAAATAAGATCATTCCAGAACCACTGGGCTGCCGTTTCAGGTTATCAGTGCAGCGTTTTTCTTTCTCTTTCCACTTTCCTTTTAGATTGCAAAAATAATATATGCGCAGTTCAAAGTAAAAGACTGATCCTGGGCTCCTGGTGACTGCTGCCACATGGGGTTCATCCATCGAGGTCTTCAGCACCATGCCAACTTTAAGTGCTTGCCTTCATCCTTTTTGGAGGGGTTGGTGGGGAAGGTGGCGCCTTCCTCTCTGTTAATGCGCAGGTCGCTGGGGCCACTGCGAGGATGGGCTGGCTTGTGGGGAAGCCGAGTGTTCCTGCCAGGAGGGGCTGGGGTGCAGGGGCTACCTCGTGACTGCAGCTTTCCTTAATGCTCACTGTGCCCCTCGTTTGTGCTGCTCCTTTGAACTGTGAAGGGACAATGACACTTGGTGTGAGGCTGAATTAGCGCTCCTAAAACATCTCAAAGATCTTAGGAGAGAGTATCACTATAGAAAATTTGTCATGGTGAAATGCCACTTAACAGTCAAAACGACAAAGCGTACATCGAGGAGTCCTCAGTTGCCGAGTGGTGAGGAGGGTGGAGCATTGCAGTGGGCCGGCTACTTAGGATATTTACAGACGTCAGGGCTTTCTTAGCCAAGGCCGGGAACAGCGACACTATGTTCCCATGTGTGTTTACCTCTTCTGTGGCAGCCGCCAGGAGGACTCCAGGCGTCATGTGAAAAGAGCAGCTCACGCTTTCCAGCTCCGTCCCTGGGAGCTGTTATGGGGGGGGGGGGCGGGGTGAGGGGGAGACGAGGTGCAGGGTGAGGAGGAGGTGCCTGGCTCTGCAGCTTTCCTGTGTGAAGCCCGAGGGATCCCCTGCTCTGCTTGGCTCCTCAAGATTGGATAGACAGGCTCGCTAGACTTAAAAATATATTTCCAAATGTGTAAAGTGCTTGGCGTAATGAAATGAGACCTGACTCCAGGGACCAGTTAACCTCTGTCCAGAGTCTTAGCGTGGGCAGCTGGGTAGGACACTGATTTTTTTTTTTTTATTAAAGATTTTATTTACTTTTTAGAGAGAGGGGGAGGGAGGGGGAAAGAGGGGGAGAGAAACATTTATTGGTTGCTTCTCAACTGGGGACCTGGACCCACAACCCAGGCATGTGCCCTGACTGGGAATGGAACTGGCAACCTTTTGGTTCGCAGGCCAGCACTCAACCTGCAGAGCCACACCAGCCAGGGCATCCCACACTGATTTGATGTAAACCGGGAGCCTCACTTTCCTGAGTTCTCGGCCCTCTTGGCTCTGTGTTGTGGTGAAAATTCTGTCCTTCCTGTTCATTTCTGCATTCTGACCTGGCATCTCCCCACTGCCCAGATGCCTTGTTTGCTTTTTTAGTTGACAAAGGGAAGTGACCCTGTTGAGGGAGCAGGTCCCCCTCATCCCTCTGCCCCAGTGGTCAGGTGTAGCTTTGATGTCAGCTCCGGTGGGTAGCCTTGTTGTACACAATTCACAACAGCCCAGCGGTGCTTGGTCCCTATTTTGAGGCATTTTGAGCCAGGGCTGAGTCTGTTCTCAGCATTTTCTGTGAATAGCTGCTTCTTCTGGCCTTTTTTGCTTCACCCCCTTCCCCTCGCCCAGAGAAACATTTCAAAGCCAGTGGGGAAGGAGGGCTGGGTCTGTCCACTTGCTTCTCACGGGCAGCTCTGAATGGTGGACAGTCCATTTTATTTCCCTGACATCAAACACACCTACATTGTGTCTAGCTCCATGGAAGGGGCACTGAGCCCAGCCTCACAGTTACTTCCATGTGAGGGTGTGGAAACCATCGCCAGCACACAGATGTTTCTCTCATGTCCCTTAGTGTCCTAGAGATCAGGTGGCTCTGCCCCAACTTCTCTCTGCTCTGGTACGGGGATGCCACTGTGAATGGACATAGGGTGGCTTTCGGTTCCAGGCTGCAGACCTCCCCGCCTGTGTTGTTTCATGGGCAGGGGCACTGGGGGGCCAGCAGGGTGGGGCATGGCACACCCAGTTCGAGTTTTAGAAGACTGTGTGAATAGCCAAAAGGGAGACTTGCCCTCCAGATACCAGCCTGCACGCTGGAGCTGAGCGACCTGGTGGCACATGCAGGGCCCTGAGGGGCTGTGCAGTTGGCTGTCGGGTGTGATGAAGTTGGACAGACTGCATGCCCTGGACACGGAAGCACGGGAGTCGATCCCTCACACTACCCATTCAGACAGCCCCTGGGCAGATCTGAGAGCTAAACCAAAATACAACCATACAAGGAAGTCAAGAAAGCGGCTCTTATTTTGGACAGGAAGGGTGACCCCTACATAGGAAAGATGGGAAGATTCACTATAAAATAACAGATGTTAAAAAATAATCAGATCCCACCCTGGCTGGTGTGGCTCAGTGGATTGAGTGCTGGCCTGCAAACCAAAGGGTTGCTGGTTCAATTCCCAGTCAGGGCACATGCCTGGCTTGCTGGCCAGGTCCCCAATAGGGGGTGCTCGAGAGGCAACCACACATTGATGTTTCTCTCCCTCTCTTCCTCCCTCCCCCTCTCTAAAAATAAATAAATAAATAAATAAAATCTTTAAAAAATAATCAGATCCTTTTATTATTATTTATTCATTTTAGAGAGAGGGAGGAACACTGATTTGTTGTTCCACTTATTTACACATTCATTGGTTGACTCTTGTATGTGCTCTTACTAGGGATCGAACCCACAACCTTGGTATATCAGGACGATGCTCTAACCAACTGAGCTACCTGGCCAGGTCAATAATCAGGACATTCTGATAGCATCACAGGCAAGGCAGCAATGCAGGGGACAGACTTGGAGAAAACATTTGTGGCTCGCGGAGCAAACAGGGCATGCCTGTCCACACCACATCAACTGCATGACCGATTAGTGCAACAGAGGCCCAGGGTTCAGTGTCCAAGTTGGTGGTTCATGGACATGGGGCTGTGAGAGGGGATAAGATATGCTGTCACTAGAGGATGCCAAGGAAGCTGTTGAGAGCATTACCTGCCACGTCAGGAGGGTGAGTTGTGTCAGGTTCCGCTCAGGGATGGAGGCGGGGGGCGGGACCAGATTGGCACCGGGTGTTTGGAGGGAGTTGGGCCCTGTGTGCTCACCTGAGGGCCTCAGCCTCTGACGGGGCCATTCTGCCTCCTGGGTCACTGTCCTAGGAAGGTCTTCTGCCCATGTGCAGAGCTTGTGCACAGGACTCCGCCCGCAAGGAAAGGTGGGCAACAGCAAGCAGTCTGGGGACACTACCCCTTTGGTGAGGATGGACCTGCATAGCCAGTCGTGAGGAAGGCAGGCAACAAAATCCTGCCTGTGTGATAATGCCATACACGCATACTTTGCTGGGAAAGATATGGACGCACACAGCTGACCGGAGATGGGGCTTTTGCTGGATGCGCACAGTTGGAGATTTTCCAGATGAGAGTGTGTTCCTGGGTAACCTGGGAGTAGGAATCACAACCACAGACCCTGCCGCCCCCAGGAGCTGCTGGTTGTGGCAGCAGGAGGTGCGGAGCCTTGGGCTTGGGTACAGAGAGGCTGAACTGGGTGGACTGATGAGCCTGCAGCCGCTGTGAAAGAATGGGTGGGCTGGGAGGGAAGGGAAGGGAGAAGCCCTCGATGCAAACGCTGGAGGAGGTGGTGCTGGACGGCACTGGGTGGGTGGCAGTCAGTTTGTGATGCTCGTAGCCCCGGGGCAGGGTGAGATGGGCAGCCAGGTGGGGTCTGGAGACAGGTATGTGACTGTCCCCAGCAGTACCGAGGTCTGCCAGCCCCCTGCAGACCTCCCCCGACGCAGGGTCCTTTACTGTTAGGGCTGGCAGTGACAATGAGGCCCTGTCAGTGGCCCGCAGGCCCTTCTTGCCTCCTCTCCCCAGGGCCTTCATGAGGTCGCTGGGTCGCCCTGCCTTTTACCCACCTGTCTCTGTGCCAAGCATAGGGGGGGCCAGGGAAGCAGATCCTCACTGTTGGTCAGCAAGCTCTCGGCCAATCTATCAGGGTGCCAGGTTCCATCCCTGTGGCCCTTCCCCGAGCCACTGCAGTCATTGCCCCATTTCTTGGCATGTTACTCTGATTTGTCTTTGGCCAGGCCTGTCTGCCTGTGTCATTTTCTTTTTGTGCTCTTGTTAGATGCCACAGAGTGAGGTTGGAAGCTTGACTCACTGAAGAGCTTGATCCTTCTGACAGGCAGTTTACCCGGCTCCACTTGGCTGTTGGGAACAGCCCTGTTGGTCCTCTGGGCAGCAGGGGAGGGGGAAGGCGGAGGCGCCAGCTGGAGGGGGCCATTCGGAGGCAGTGGGTGAGCAGCAGGATGCAGCATGCCGGGAGCGCTCAGAAGCGCCGTCAGCAGATGGGCTGTGAGTGCCTAGAAAGCTCCTGTGCTTTGTAGCCAGCGCCAGTGCACTAAGAATGACTGGTGCCAAGTCTGTGACCCGTTCTTCCTGTGTTTCGGAATTACCAGGGGGTTAGACAGGGGAAAGCCAAGCTCACTGAGCTGGGATCTGGGTAGGCTTCAGCTGGCTTTCTTAGAGAGGATGGGAAGCTCTTGGCTTTGGTTTGAAGAGGACACTTTCCTTTTGCTTCATGCTTCACCGGTCCTTCCTCCAGGGGCTCAGGTGTGCCCAGAGATGTGTCCATGGGAAGTGCTAGCCCCGCTGTGCACACGTGGATCTGCCCGGGCTGCAGGTGAGAGGACCTGGCAGGGACGCACACTCAGGCTGGTGGAGGCCACCCCAGGGGCAATAGTGTATTCTTAGCTGTTTCTAGTCAGGCCAAGGTCACAGTGGGAGCCCCAGACTGAGTGACTGGTGAGCAGCAGTGTGTGGGCAGACGTGTGGTGTGGGTACACTGGTCTCATCTGTGCATGTGCAGCTTCGTATACCTCCCCAGCCTGAATGGCAGTTCCTGGGCTGGGAACCTTTGTCACAGTCTCAGTCTGTACTGGACATTGTCGGAGAGAATGAGCGCCCAGAGCTGCAATCTTCCTGTTCTAAGCAGGACTTCATGCTGCTTTTTGTTCAGTTCCAGAAAAGTCCTGGGTAGTTTGTAGCAGCAGCGTTGTCACTTGCCCAGGCTCACAGAAGTCAGGGTTTTATGTGAAATCCCGGTGGTTATGAAGACTGCCTGGTTGCAGCTAGGGGAGTCCAAGGCCATGTGAGTCATGGAACATGGCCTTGCAAAGTAGCCACAGTGAGGACACTCTAGGGGCGTGGGCACTGCTGACGCCAGCCTCCTCCTAGTGGGACCGGTCCCTGGTTTTCTGTACAGAACAGCCCAGGCTGCAGTGAGCACCCCTTTGGGCCTCACGGTGAGCGCAGAAGGACACGCTTCCTGCAGCAGAGATGGCGCTGCTCCACGGCCGGCCCTGCTGCCCGCTGCTCTGCAGCGCTGCCCGGTGTCTCAGGCACCTGTCAGGATGTTTGGCCACCTCACGGGCTCCACTCTCTAGCTCTTCGTGTGGTCCCTCCAGACTGTTGCCCGCACAGCCTCCCCTCCTTGGCCTGGGCCCCTCTCTGGGGTCTTCCGTCTCTATGGACTGGTCCCCCTGCGTGTGAGGCCATTGTAAAACAGAGCCCCCCCGGGGGGACCACACATGGACACAGGACTTTCCACCGTGGCGAGGACAGAGCTGGCTGCCCATCACTCGCTTTCCCAGGGGCTTCTCATGCGCTGCGGAGGGAGAGCAGTGCAGCCAGCGGGGCCGTGCAGGAGTCGTGCTGGCTGCCCAGGGTTTCCACAGTGAAGCTGGGTGGAGCATCTTGTGCACGTGCCAGGGTGGTGTGGATGTGCAGGCCCGGTGCTGGGGGCGTCCTGGCCTTCTGGGCGGCTGCTTGGGAGCAGATGTGAGGTCAGGGCGGCCCACTTGACCATAGCACCCCACATGTGCCTGCTTCTCCACCCTGCGTGCAGCCAGCAGGCACCCCTCCAATGAGCCTCTCGTGGGACCTCAAGCTGAGCTCTCAATGAGGGGATATCACACCCATAAAGTGCCCAGCATGGGAAGGGGCTCCCCACCTGTCCCCTCCCTTGCCCTGTGGCACCTGGGGCCCAGCCTCCTCTGACTCCACTGGCCAGAGAGCCAAGTTGTGTGAGAGGCCCTTCTCTCTGCGCCCTGTGTTCCTTGGCTGCCGTCCCGGTTGCCTGGAGGCCAAGTGAGGGAAAGGGAGGAAAAGCAGAGGACTGGCCTGGGACAGCTCACTGCCTGCCATCCGTGGGCTTCGCTGAGTGTGCATAGTACTCTCCTGGCCTCTCTGGCCTGCTGGGGCAGGCAGCTCCCTGGGCACAGGGCACAGAGATGGGACATGGCTTCCCGCATTGCTTAGATGCCCACCTTAAGGCCCGTGGCAAAGCTCCTGGTCAGATCCTATGGGACTCCTCTGCCTGCCTTTTCTCTGGCTGCCCTGCCCTCAGGTGCAACCCCAGAACCCACATAGCCCTTACTTCTTGGGCTCCCATGGACATGCAGATGCTCCCCCCGGCCTGCGCCTCTGTGCTGATCCCCAGGTGGAGGTAGGGACAGGTGGGGTTGGGGTGTCCCTGAGAAAGCCAAGCATGCTTCTTCCCGGGATGCTGCCCTCCCCCCTGTACAGATTTTACCAGCTCAGGTGTTATTCAGGGTGAGCCCTTCCTGAGAAACAAAGATGCCACCAGCCTTACCTGGCACGATGAGACCTGTTGGAGCCCCTCCTCTGCTGGCCCTGGAGCCGTGGGAAGTGGAGAGGAGCATTTTCTCAGAGGACCTGAGAGACCCAGCAGGCAGGACACTGTTTGCCGCTGCGGGCAGTTCCAGCCACCTGCCTGCCCACCTTCTCTGCACCCAGCCCTCGGTGCAGCGACTGCAACAACACAGGCTGTATCCAGAGCTTGTTCGCAGAGCCCTGAAAGTCAGCAAGGGGGAGGAGGTAGCTGAATGAGCAGGGTGTTGGGGAGGACTTCACCAGGCCCTGGGGAGGCTGTTGGAGCTCCGTGGTGGGCCTGGGTGGGGGCACATGGCAGGAAGGGCCCAGTACCCATGGGACCTGCCAGGAGTTTGCTGAGGGAGTATGTCAGGTTTAGATAAAGAAGGGTGCGGGGGGTGGGTGGGAGGTGAAGCCAGGAAGGGGAGGGGCCGGTGGGCAGCGAGCCTGGCTTGAGTGGGGGGTGAGGGATTGGAGAGAAAGGCAGTTCCTGATGGTCCCTTCCCCAGGGGCTGGCTTTCCTCTGGTCCTTCCCTCCTAATGACTGCATCTTCGTCATGGCCGCAGCCCTGGGCTCTGTGCCCACACACCTCTGGCACTAGGCTGCCTGGAGACCCTTCGGTGGCCTCTCCTCAGTCTACAGGGTCCTCCCTGCTACATCTGGAGGGCTCGTCTGCCACTCACATGGGCCAGCTAGGCCAGCGGGGTCCTGCAGCTGAGTTGGGGGTGGGGCCTCTATACATGGCCTGTGAGCATCAGTGGCCAGACCTGCCCTTTGCTCACTGAGCTGCCAGCCATGTGGCTCAGGGAGGGACGTGGTGAGCCAAGGCAGACACGGTGGCCTCCTCCGCTGATAGCCCAGAGTGGCACATCCCTGGGGGGGTGGCCTTCAGAATAGCCCCCCGTCCAGCGGGGCTCCGGACCAGTGGGATGTCAGCAGGGATAGGCAGGCGGGGCTCCTACCACTGACTGCGGCAGCCTGGGTGCCACACACACCACCAGCTGCGTGGCGCATTCTTGTGTCTGAGAGGGACCAGCTCCTCTGGGCTGAGTGGCCTCTGACTTCTGTGCTGGAGGGTGGCCAGTGGCAGGCGCTGGGAACTCTGTCAGCTATGCCCAGTGGGTGGGACACCCGAAATCCTGGGAGGCCCAGCATGCTTCCTGTCTCCCTACACTGCGTTCTGGATGGTTCTGCTGACTCATATCATCAGCTGTGTCTAATCGACTATGAAATGCACTGCTGAGTTTTAATTTGTAGTTACCTATAGCTTCCGTTTCTGAGAGTTCTTTCTGGTGTTTTGTGAACCTCCTTTTCTCTGTAGATATTCCCAAGGTCCCTTTTCCTGCAAGCAGAGCATGGTTGGTTTATGACACTTGTGGGGATCTCTTTCTGCTGATTCTTGTGTATGATGTTTTGTGTTGGTATGTGGTTCTTTCTGACTGTGCACTACTCTTTGCCCTAGAAATTATCTGTGAGACTTCTTGGTGGTCTGAGATGAAGATGACAACTTTGGTTTGCCAAGTGCCCAGGGACACTACCAGTGTGGGAGCTCCTCAAACCAAGTCTTGGCTTCAGGGCTCCTGGACCCTGGGTGTGGCCCTGGCTGCACTTACGGACCTTCTTGGGGGCTTTCTCCACCTGTAGGCCATCCCTGCGACCCTGGGGGGCTGTGGATCTAGCCCACCCTCACTCGGCGAGTGTTGCTCACTGTAGCCAGACCAGCGAGCAGAAATGAGTGGAGTAGTGGGAACACCATGGCGTTGTCCACGAGGAAGCCCCAGGAGCTAAGCAGCCTCCAAGTGGCTCTCAGCTGACGCTGTGTTTGTGGTGCTGACCTTGGCCTTGGCCCCTCCTTGTCTCTTCCGTACTCTGTGGCCTCGGCCTCTCCTACCAACTCACCCGCCCAGGCGGTGCTGGCAGAGTCAGTGCGGTGGGAATGTCCCGCTTCTGTGGGTCCTGAGACAGGAAAGTTTTCATTTCAGTGACCCAAGAACCGGGAGTGACTCACTGACATCAGAGAGGGGCGCTCACCATCACTGTTCATTGGCCTGTCCCCACAGCTGGGAATGGATCTGTCCTGGAGCTGCGGGGGCCTGGGCCTGAGGCAGGGAACTGGACCTCTCTGGGCCATGCCCGCTGCCCACAGGCCTGCAGGGGTCTGTGATGGTGTCACATGCAGCAGGCTGCCCCCTTCCCTGGGTGGCCGCGCGGACGCCTGGGATAGAAAGGCGAGAGTGGCAGAGCAGTTATGGCTTACACTGAAGATTAGAGAAAGGCTGGGATGCGTGGGGCATCTTTCCCCTGCCCCACCCCTGTCCCCAGTGAGGCCCCGACTGGCAGACCTGCTCTACAGATGTTCCCCCCTGGGTGGAGCCCAGGCCTTGCTCTAACAGGCACCACGCTTAACATCTTGAGCCAGGCCGCTGCATGGACCCTCCCTAACCCCAGAGTGGCCCAGGCTAGGGCATTTGGACTTCAGTGGCCCCCTCTAGACACATGTCTGCACAGACGTCCATAAATGTACACATGCACACACAAGCACATATGTAGACATATCCATGCACTTACATATATGCACAGACCCCTCGGCCTCACATACGTACATATGCGCTGAACACACCTTCCCCTGCTTGCTCCCCGGGCTCTTCTGGGGCATCTCCGTGGCTCCCTTCAGTACCTGTACAGCCTCTGCTGGCCAATGCCTGGCTCTGACGGTGCCCTGGAGCCATGTCCCAGCTTGTCACACACATGCAGGACTAGAGACCCACACAGTCACCTTATTCAGGATTGGTGGCCTTGAGATCTCATCTCACTTTGTGGGGAAAAAATCCTGCTGGCTCCAGTGGCCCCAGGTGAGGGACCCGTGCGTGGCTGGACGGAGGGGAGGAGGTGCACACTGAGTCCTCACCCATCACCTGTGTTTGTGTCCATGTCACCAGCACATGCGCTTGGCCCCTTGTCCCTTGCTGACTGGGCGTGCAGGGCCCTGTGGGCCCCTGGCTGTGCTTGGGCTGTCGTGGGTGGTGGGCGTGTGCCAGTGGCCTGCAGTAGACCCTGCCGCAGAACATCCTCACGCCAGGTGGATGTGACGTGGCCCTGCATTGAATGGCTCGGGGCTGGAGCGGTGCTGTGGCCTGGGGAAGGAAGGAGCAGTCTGGGTGGCGGCAGGGAGCAAGCTGTGGAGCCCTGCTCCCGGGCAGGTGTGGGCCGGCTGACCTGCCCACTGCTCCAGCTGTGCTTGCGGTTCACGCTCTTGCTGCCGCTTTTTCTGCTAGCACCCACTCGCCACGCCCATGCGCTCCAGGGCCAGTGAGCACTGCCAGCGCCAGGGTGGTCTGACCAGTGCTGACGAGTGTGTGTGTTTAGGGAGAGGACTGTGGTGCTGGTGAGCATCACGGTGTTGGGCACATGAATCCGGCACGTGACTCTGGCACATCTAGCGAGGGTCAGGGGCATTACAGAGCTGGTTCTGTTCCGGGTCAGAGAACATTACAGGTTCAGGGAGAGTGGTTCTATTGTCCACTGTTTACTCAACTCATTTTTTTCCTTTTCCCGCAGACTGTGTGACCCCGTGTAAGCAAAGCCAGTCTCGGGGACCCATGTGCATCATCTTCTTTAAGTTCGATCCTCGCCCTGTTTCCAAAAATGCATACAGGTAACCCCCTCACTCTGAGTCTGCCATCATCCGCTCAGCCTCGGGGGCCCCGCAGTCTTCAGTGCCCCTGTGGGTGGCCCCGGCAGCAGGGGCATGCTGCTGCCGCCCTCGGGTGGGGAGAAGGAGGCGCCAGGATGAGCTGCACAGGCCTGGCAGTGCCCTCTCAGACAGTGGTCACTCTGCCTGGGGCGCTGGAGGGAATACCTCTCGGTGGTCAAGACCCTGAGTCCATGTACAAATATAGTAAGACGCAGCCTCTAAAGGTGGCTGTGTGGGCAGGACAGAGGAGCAAACTGGGCCAAGGCAGGGGAACAGCCCTGTGGATCCTGACAGAGAACCAGAGGGTAGTAGGATTGGGGTGACAGTGAGCGAGAGCTTCACTTGGACTGGCTAGTCTGTGTGGCCAGGAGAAGTCTGGGTAATGTTGGCAGGGTGCAGGGAGGTGAGAGAAGCTGGGGGTACCAGCTGGAGGAGGCAGGAGACTGAGGACCCCCTCCTCTCTATGACTCTAGCCTCTGGACCGCACCCCTCCATTCCCTGGGGCACCCCAGCAGGGACCCATCATAATTTATCCCTCAGAGAATGAGGCTAAGATGAAACCTACAACCAAAAGTGACATTCGAAACCGCTTACTGGTGCAGTTGCCTGCAAAGTTTTCATCATTTTAAAATCTATACCAGCAATGATTTTAACTATTTCAACTAGCTTTTTGGATTTGATCACCGTGCCAAATCACAGACACTATGCCGCCCCACACTGGCTGGATTTGCTCATTCCAGGCCAGGGAATGGAGGATGCAGAGTGTCCAGGGTTCCCTTCCTGCAGAGGAGAGGGCAGCAGGCCAGGCCAGGCCAGGGCCTGGGAGCCAACCCTGCATGGCTCCCAATAGGGTGAGCTGTGTGAGTCAGGGTGCAGCTGGTGGACAGGATCCAGACCCAGTGATCTGAGCAGGGCAAGTACAATATACAGAATGAGCAGTGGTAGTGGGGTTGGAGTGCCCACAGAAGAGCCCCATGCTTCACCCCCGGGCTGGGATCCAGACCTTGCCGGGGAGGAACAGCCATGGCACACGGGGTGACTGAGAAATCGCCGGGGTGCTGCACCGGCAGAGCTTGCTGGACTGCCCTCAAGCGTGCTGGCAGCTGTTTCAGAGAAGGAGCTGGACACTGGGTACTGCTTACTGCTGTGGCTGGGGAAGCCACATGTATGGCAGGAGGCTGATGCCAGGGAAGTCACGTGCGTGGTGTGGTGGGAGCCTCCCAGGAAGCACACTGAAGCCTGGAAAAGACGCCTCTCCTCCTCTAGTGTCTCTCTGGCGCCCTCTACTAACAAAACAACACAGTACCAGCTGCAAAGTTCAGCTCTGTTATTGCAGATGGCAATGAAGGGCGAATTTGGGGCTAAGGTGCAATAGATGGGTAATTGGCCCAGTCCACCCCTTTGGCTACTGAGCTTTCCTGTGCACTCTTCTATGCTCATTTGAACTTCCTCACACCAACAAAACAACTCTCTCTCCACCCGACAAGTGAAGAATTTGTCCAATGAGGAGAGGCAGCCTGACAGTCGCTAAGTCCATCACTGCCTGTATTTGTCACTCCCAGACTGAGCTACATCCCCTCTTGAAGTGCTCTTCCCCAAGGCTATCCCCAGCCTCCTGCAAGTAAAATAAAAGTGTGAAGAGGAGAGAGGCAGGTGAGCCCAGATCTCTCTTGCTTTTGCTCACGATCTATACATCACTGCTGGGAGCTGTCTTCATAACAGCTAACTCCTCGTGGATCGGGATTCGAGATAGCCTTAGAGCCAAAGACTAAATATGCCTCCTCTGGGTGACTGAATGAATACACTCAGTGTTTTCCTGACCACACGGGAGGGCCAGAGGGGCTTCTGGGGGCCGCATCTGTTCCAGCTCTGGTGGTGTCCGCATGGTGAGAATGGGCAGGCTGCAGGCTCTCTCTGTACGTGCTTCCGTACATGTGTGATGCAAGGACAGGACAGGAGGAGCAGGGAGGGGGCTATCATGGGAGGGATGCTGCTGCAAGGCTGGTGAGAGAGGCCTGGTCAGCTGAGCCTGGGCACGTCAGAGGTTTGGGAGGGGTTCCCAGTGCCTGGAGTGGAAGGAGAAGCAATGAAGCAGGGTAGGCACAGCGCCAGGGCCGTTGGCACGGAGGGGAGGAGGCCCTGCTATTGTCCACTGCTCTATCATCACCTGCCCCTTACGTAGCAATAGTCAGGAATGAGAGCGTGCTTTGTGTGTATGCAATAAAGTGTACATAACATACACATTTGCCATTCTAACCATTTGTAAGTATCTAGTTCCATAGTATTAAGCACATTCATGTTTTTATGCAACTATCACCACCATCCATCTCCCGAGCTCTTTTCATCTTCTCAGACTCTGTCCCCATCAGATGATAACCCCCGTTTCCCCTTCCGCCACCCCCCGGCAACCATTATTCATTCTTCTTTATATTTCTTTGACCTTGACTAGTCTGGACACCTCATATAAGTGCAGTCATACAATATGTCTCTTTTTGTGACTGGCTTGTTTCACTTAGCTTAACGTCGTCAAGGATCACCCGTGTCGTAGTATGTGTCAGAATTTCCTTTTTAAGGCTGACTAATATTCCAGTGTATGGTCTACATTTGTTTATCCATTCACCCACCAGTAGACACTTGGGTTGTTTCTACCTCTGAACTATTGTAAATAATGCTACTATGAATATTAGTGCATAAGCATCTGTTTGGGTCCTGCTTCCAGTTCTTTTGAATATGTACCCAGAAGTGGAGTTGCTGGATCTTCCGAAAATTCTGTGTTTAACTTTTTGGGGAACTGCCACTTTGCCGCTGGCCTGCTGGTGGAAGACATGGTTTCTGAAGCATCTCTCCCTCCCTCGGGCTGTGTTTGAGCATCCTGTCGTCTCTCCCATAGGAGAGGGTGTGGGCCACTCAGAACATGTGTCCTGTGGGTGGTTTGTGCCCAGACTCAGCAGACACTGCCTGAGTGGCCCTGTTGCGGGGAAGGAGGGGAGGGAGGGCAGCCAGCTCGGCGCCGCCCAGGGAGTGAATGCGAATATGGCCTCTGCAGAGGAGCCCCGAGCCTATTGCTGGAATGGGCTGTCACAGACCCTGCAGTCTGTAACCCCTACATCTCTTGTTGCCACCCTGTTGCCCTCCCTATTGAGGATACCTATTCCTGCAGACATAGCGGCCCCTCATGTCACATGCCACTGCTGCCTTCTCCCAGGCTCCCCCGGGTCTCCCTGTCTGTCCCCTGGGAGCTGGGCTGGCCCCGGTACAGGTGTGGTCTGCCTTCCAGGTTGCATGCTGGTCAGACACAGGCAGGCTCTTCTGGTGTCACTCCCTCCAGGGGTCACCTTGGACACAATGCATCATGGCCCCTGCCCAAGGGTGTGATTGCTTGGGTTGTCCCAGCAGCCTCTGCTCCCCACGCCCTTTGTGGCCAGGCACTAGGGACCTCCTTATTTTGGTGGCAGCTACCCAGTGTGAGTGTAGTCTGGGTGCCTGTTGGTTTTGCTCTTGTTTTTAGTTCTAGTATGACTGCGGCACTCTGCCAAGGAACCTAGTAGATCTAAACTTACGTTGGGGTTTGTGGGATGTGAACACAGAATTTTCCACGCTGGCTGCAACTTTGCCCCGACAATCTTGGCGTCCTCCGTAGAGGCAGCTGTGTCTGATGGGATTCTATTGATATAATTTCCTTGATTGCAAAGGGACATGTGCTCTTTGAAGAAAAGGTCATACCCCACAAAGATGTACAAAGTTAACTGTGCGCTCACAGGCCCACCCTCCCCAAAGGGTGCACAGACTCAACTTAGGCCCACCCTCAGCAGCTGCTGAGGAGTGCTCATTGGTCATGAATGGTTAATCAGTGGTTTCAATGATTAGAATAAAACAAAGCCAAGGTTGACTCGCCCCTTGCTGTGGTGGGCATGTCCCCTGCCTTTGGGCAGGGTGACGCAGATGGACCTTGATCGGAGGTGCTGTCCCAGAAGTGGTGACTGAGGGGCTACTTCCTGCATGTGGAGCCTCAAGGTGGGCGCTCATCATGCCTGCATGTCTCTGAATTATGTATTTAATGAAATCCCCAGCAAACCATGAAATTCAGTTAAACAGGGACTCGTTCAGTGAAAATAACCCAGCAATTAATGTTCCTGGTTACAAACACACGTAAATTTTCCTTATTTTAAAAAGAATCCGTTGAAACTCTTAGGACAGAAGGTTTTACTCAGCTCTGCTCCCCCCCGCCACCCTGATTTTTCCTTAGGTAAGAATCAAAACCAGGAGCCAACAGCACCAGCCTCATTTGGGGTGCCGCCTTCCTGGCCTCCCCATCCCCCACTCTCCAGGTGGCAGGACAAGTGTGCAGAGGAGGACTGGGTATCTGAGGCAGGACCCTTGATCCTGACCCTGTGAAACAGCCCCCACCCATGACGTTAGCGGGGAGCCTGGCCCCGGCGGCATCCCCACCACAGATGTGGAGTCTCCCCCGACCCGGGGACATGGGGCTTTTCCTCCTCCTGACTGCTATCCAGGCCGTGGTAAAGGGGCGCCTACCAGGATGGCCCGTTCAGGCAGCCTGTGGGAGCAGGGCCAGCCAGGACACACCCGTGGCTGGGTTCCAGAAGGGACAGAGCTGATGTGGGAAGCAGGGCTCAGGGCCCAGCTGGCTGCTCCCTCAGACCGTCTCCCTCAGCCTGAGGCTGGGGTCCAGGTCGGAGCTTGGCAGTTAGAGCTGCATAGGGTTTTTCTGTGTGCGGCTGGGGCTCATATCAGGGCGGGGACCCCCCCCTCCGGTGCACGTCCCTGAGACCTGGTGCGGCCCTGGAGCTGGCTGTGTAGAGGGGTGAGTGGCTGCAGGCTACCTGGGTGTCACGAAGGTGGCGAGGCTTCCGGGGCAGACCCGAGTGTCCCACGGCCACGTGCAGTCCTCGGCTGTGTTGGCACCTGGAGCCGGGGGCAGTGTGGGGAAGTACAGCGTGTGCGTGAGGGTCGCACGTTGTGTCCATGGGGTGAAACCCACTTCCATGGCCCGGCGCTGAGTTCACTTTCAATTTTATAAACATCTTTGATAATTCATGTTGTACCACGAGCAAATATTTATGAAATCAACTAGACGGTACAGAAATTATTTTTGACGATTTTTTAGGATGTGACCATTGACCAGACTAATTTGGTTTCAGACCCAGTGTGACTACCAGGCCCCAGACCCGGGCCCCTTGTCCTCTGTTCTCCTGTGTTCTAGCTGTGGTGCTTAGAGGGCCCTTTGATGACCACTTCTTAGAGAGGCGTTCCACTCAACCACCATCTATGTTCTTATTTAAATGACAAAGCTGACTGGCAACTTTGATTTCTCATCTCTAAACCAGGGCTCTGAAAATTGTGACACCTTTTCTAATTGCCAAAGAAACACTTGATTCATAATGAGAGAAACTAGTGAAACACAGAGAAACTCTCACCCATTCCCTCCCCAAGACACCCTAAACTCAGGACAGCAGCCCTTGGAGGCCCGTGCACTGGGGTGTCTTCAGAGGAAGGGACAGATGGACAGAAGGAGGGGCACCGCCTGCCGCCTGAGTACCAGGATGTGCTTGGTGCCTCTGGTAGAATTCATCCTCAGGGCCCTCCCTGGCCTGGCCCCTGGTCTTGCTTGCCTAGCCCGGTGCCGGGTGGGCAGTTGGTGCACAGGGCTGGAATCCGTCTCCTGGCCCCCCGTCTCCCGGCCCTGGACGGTGTGGACATGCGTCTTCGCCCATCGCCTCGCTGCATCTGCAAGGCCAGGGCACAGTCTGGCCGAGGGCTCCCTGGAAACCAACTGCCTGGAACTGCTGCCAACCTTTGTCCCTTGTGGGTTCCTATTCTTTTTGGGACTTGCCCATGTTGTTACTGAGGCGGGTGTTGTTAACCAGAGAGAAAAAAACGTGGCTTTTCTATTTTGACCCGAGAGTTTCAGTTGTGCTTCTGTCTCTAGGCTCATCCTGGCAGCCAACAGGGATGAATTCTACCAGAGACCATCCAAGACAGCAGACTTCTGGGGGAACAACAACGAGATCCTCAGTGGTGAGTCTTTCCTCATGCTGGATGGCCACCATGGGGCAGGAGGTCTGAGCCCCAGGTGGTTCTGACTGCTGTGAGTGCTGTTTCCTGTGTAAGTTCAGAATGAATGAGTGGACTCTGATGAGTCTGTTGGGGGTGGGCTCTCAAGGCTCAGCCCGGGGCCACTGTTGGGTTGGCCAGCCCCAGAATCGTCTAGCCAGCGCTGTCCATGTGGCTACATATATCGTGGATCCCCAGGAGAAGCAGCTGGAAGGATCAGTTGGTTTTATTTGGATCCACACTTTCCCTGTGTGCTCGTGGTTGTATTGGTGTTAGGTGCAAGTCCACACTCTATCACTCTGTGCAGCGTCATAGTTGTGGGGGGCAGGGTGCTCACATGTGCTTATATCTGTACACATTTCTGTTTGCACACGAGCCCCCTTGCTCCAGTGAGAGCTGGTCTGAATTTGGGGAGCTGAGGTTTGGTTGGGACATTTTTGGGTGGGAGCTTCACAAGGAGTTCCTGTGAGGGGAGCCCCGGTCCCCTGCCCACTAAGCCAACAGCTCCCCTGAGCCACTTGGACAGGGAGCAGATCCTGCCCCAGGGGTGGGCAGGAGTCCCTCCGCCTGTGAGCCAGGTGTCAGGCAAGCACGAGGGAGGCTGGCGGGGCTGACAGGGCGCCCAGTGTGCTGGGCATGGGGCCTCCTGGGCCCCGGGAGGCCGCGTGTGCTCTGCTCTGCCTGCAGCGTCTAAAAGCTCAGCTGTGGCGCTTGCAGAGGCTTTCTGTGGAGTCTGTGGCCGGGCAGTGGTGTGGAGAAAACACTGCTGGGGCTGTGTGAGAGGAGGACGGGAGTGGGGCAGCCAGGGCAGGGCACTGTCCTGGGCGGGAGGTCGGGGCGTTGGTGGGGAAAGCTACAGAGAGGCTGTGAGCGGGGACCCAGGATGACTGAGTGAGAGAGAGGAGAGGCTGGGTCCCTGGGCTGTCTTGGTCTCGTCAGAAACCACACAGGAAACCTTGGAAATTTCTAGATGTACAGACAGGAACAGGTGGCAGGCTGGTGAGGAGCCCCGTGCTGTGTAAATTCTGGGCACAGCAGGACAGTAACCCCAGGGGGTTGTTTATATGTGTGGGGGGTCCTTGGCTGGGTCAGCCATGGCTCTTCCAGTGGCCATGGGGCAGGCCTGTGGGGCCGTGGGAGGAGTGCTGAGGGGAGCCTGTGGCACGGTCGGGACCATCCTGGCCATCCTGGGCTGGGATAGACCAGAAGGGGCTTATGGGGCAGGGCAGGCTGTGTGTCCATGCCGCAGGGCGCAGAGGGGAGGCCAAAGTGTGTGTGTGTTGCGGGGAGGGGCTGTTACCCTGGGGAAGGGAGGCAGGAGGCACCTCTGGAAGACTTTTGTAGACGAGGACACGGAGGCCTGGAGGAGAGGTTAGCCTGCCGGGGCTCCTGCACCAGATCCGGGACAAGGTTCCCGCGATAGAGCTGGTGCTCTGCTCCCAGCCGGGTGTCAGCCTAAGCTCCAGGGTGCCGCCTGGGGAGTCAGTTGTCCTGAGGGGCAGGGCTGGGGGAGGGCGGCTTCTGAGTGTCCTGCTGCCCCGCACTGCGAAGCCAGGGCTGTGGGACTGAGGTGCGACTCCCCAGGACGCAGGGATAGGGTGGGCACTGCTGGTGGTGATGCTGGCATCTGTCCAGGGCTCGACATGGAGGAAGGCAAGGAAGGAGGCACGTGGCTGGGTATCAGCACGCGTGGGAAGCTGGCGGCGCTCACCAACTACCTGCAGCCACATCAGGACCCTGCTGCCAGGGGCCGAGGTACCGTGCTGCCATGGGGGGGGGGTTGGGGGCTGGCTTAAGGCTGTGGGGCCTTGCAGACGGGGGAGGAGCTGGAATGGGGAAGAGGGCACATTTTCCTGGGCCCTGCAGTCCGCTGACTGGCCTCACTGTGGGAATCACGCTCAGCCTGGCCCATGCGAAACCCATGGCACTGACCTTTCACCCCCTCAGGAGATGTGCTTCGTGCCTGTCCCCCAGGCACTGTGTCACTCTTGACTGCGTGTCATTGTCCCCAGCCTGTCCAAGGTTTGCGGAGCAGATGCCCCTGGGAGGACAGCTCCATGGATACGCATTGTCCCCACTGAAGGTTTTTCCTTCATGCTCGTTTCCATATGGGGGCGTAATGGAGGAAAACAATTTTTAAAACCAATAAAAACAGACTTCTCCTTGTCAACCTCCTTGGCTGCTGGGTCAGTGAGGTGTATGTAGCCAGCCCATGCGAGACCATCAGTCTCCCCAGGGACGGGTACACTTGCTGGCTCGGCCATGGGTGTCTGTTCCCTGCTCGCAGGTGAACTTGTGGCCCAATTTCTGACCACGGACATGGACAGTCTATCCTACCTGAAGAAGGTCTCCACAGAGGGTCACCTGTACAATGGTTTCAACCTCATAGCAGCCGACCTGAGGTGAGTCTGGCGGGCAGGGGACCTCAGCCCTCCGAGGGCAGCTACAAGACTGGGTCGCGGACTCAGCAGGGAGTAGGATCCCTGCCCCGCCACTCAGCTTGGGGTGCTGTGGCATCTGTGGCAGCCTCTCCAGGGACAGCACTCCTGGTGGGCTTGGAGCGTGTCCTGAGGGTCCAGCCCCTCCCAGAGCCCCTGCTGTGGGGTCTTGGGAAGCAGAGCTTTGCAGTGGGGCTTCCAGTGGCAGTATGAGGGCTGCTGGCTCCTGCCCTAAGAGGCCTGGTGCATGATTGCAGGGTGCTCTCCTAGCACAGGGTGTGACCCTTGCCTCCATCCGCCCCTGTGCCCCCAGGTCCTTTCCCCATGTCTGTGGCTGAGGAGCTCTCTGCTTTGAGCTGTACCTCACTTGCACTTCTCTGGTGGGTGGAGGTGCCTCAGGCTGGAGAAGGAAGCTGCAAGCACACCTGGCAGTGGTCCCGGAGCTCTCTGGGACCCCGTGGTGGTTGCGTGCTGCTGAGCGCTGGGGCCCCACTGCAGCATCTCCTGGGAGCTGGGTCTGAGCAGGCAGCATGGTGTTCATCTTGGTTTCTGTGAGGGGCTCAGGGGCTGTGAGATTCAGGAGTCAGGTTGCTGGGAACGTGCAGGGGCCCGTGCTGCTTGGGAAGTGGCAGTTGGAGCCCTGCCAGGCCCCTGTGGGGCACAGAGGGGTGCCGCAGGGGGCTGATAGCTGTGTGGCTGTAGCAGCAGTTAGTGGCTTCCTGTGGCTGCATGCTGAGCCCCTCACATGCAGCACTCAGCGTGTCCTCAGAGCCACCCATGCACTGATGCAGCGATCTCAGACAGGCAAGTGACCTGGCCACGACCGCTGGTGGCGCGAGGTGAGGCCCGGGGTGCCCTGGTACTGTGCTGGAGTCTTGAGTGCCACCGGAGGCAGCAGCTGCATCATGCCAGCCTTGCCCCAGGCTGGGAAGGAGCACCGAGCTCATTCCCACTTGATGCTGGCTGCCACTGGGTCGTGGCCTGGCTCCCAGAGTGTGTTTATTTCTGCAGCGCCCGGGCCTGAACCCTGGCCTCGGCCCCTCACCAGCTCAGGCAGCAGCTGCACAGGCACTGTTTGCGGCACCAGTGTGGCCCACTTCCCACTGCAGACACGGAGCCCCGAGGTGAAGTGATCGTTGGTGCCCGGCTCAGGTTAGGGCGAGAAACGCAGCACCCGTATCTTCTTGGGGGGACCCCAGAGGACCATCAGTCAGACACTGGAGAGCAGGGCAGCGGGGGAGGGCGCAGGGTGTGCATGCTCAGTGCCAAAGTACCTACCACCTGTCCCTGTCTGCAGACAGATGAGCTAACGCTGTTGGCCGTCTCAGTGCATGTGGCGGAATGTGCTGGATAGGGGAGCAGAAGGGCTGTGGCACGAGGGGAGGCCAGTGTGGAGAGGCCCTGGCCGGGTGTCTGCCCCTCTGCTACCTGAGGGCCTTGAAGAGCAGTCAGTCAATTCAGGTGTCGGCAGGAGCAGCCTGCATTGCGCCACCACGTGGGCTGGGCGTGCTGGGCTCCCACCCGTGTGAGGCGCACGTGGGAGACGTGGCTGTGGGCACTGCAGGGGTTTTGCGTATTTTGTTCTTTAGTGAAGTAAGCATCCCTTCCATGCTCCCTCCCTCCTGCCCTCTCTTTGTTCCCCTCCTCTCTCCCTCCAAAGCCCCAGAAGTTGGTGGATTCTTCCACCAAGGTGGACGCCAGGGAGTGGTCAGTGCCCCGCTGTCAGCTCATGAACGGATGCCTGTCCTGAGCCAGCCTCCTCTCATGAGGGTGGGTCCACAGGCCTCTTTCCTGCCCTGGGAGCTCTGGGCCTGCTCTGTGGCACGTTCTGTCCTGCTCCGCCTTGCAGGTAGATGTATCAGTCCAGAGGCTGCGGTGCCCTTTGGGAGGAGGGCCGAGGGCATGGGCAGCTGCTGGCTCTGGCACTTGCTGTCTGGAGCCCTCTCTTCCTTGCATGGGCCTGCTGGAACCTTTGGCAGCTCTGTGTCAGTTTACAGATTGCTTTGCCTGTCAGTTCTGTGTATGTCTGGCCTGGCCTACGAGACCAGCCCCTTGGCTTGAACACTGGCAGGACTTGGTGCTCAGCAGTGTGTCAAGTGGTTGGGTGATGAAGACCTCGTGCTCTGAGTGGAGGCTAGGGATGGGCAGGCAGTCCTATAGGCAGAAGGGTCAGGGGGGGACAGGGGTTTGGTTACCTTAGAGCCTGAGTGGAAATCTTGGCTCCCAGGCCACAGGGCCAGGGCCTGCCTCCCCAGACACAGCCAGGTGGCGGCCAGGGGAACCCAGGGGGTTATGCCCAAGGACCAGGTTGGCCCAGGGAGCATCCCAGCGCAGGCCAGAGGGTGGAGAGAGTCAGAGGTCAGCCAGCAGCCCTGGTGGTGGGTCCCAGGAGGAGTTCAAGTCCTCCTGGCCTTGAACTCCTCCCTGAGTTAGTCCCTGAGTCAGTACCCCTTCCACCTGACCAGCCATGGTCCTCATGCAGGTCCTCATGCTTTCTAGCATTTTGCCTGCAAGTGAAATCTCTGAAGTCATTAGACAGACTGCTTAAAAAAAGAGTGAAGAGCTGTGGGGAGGAAGAATGTGAGCAGGATGTGAAGCCCCCTGAGGCTCGGAGGTCCTGCCTGCAGTGTAGCACTGCTCAGGAGGAATGGCTGGGGTAGGCCTGGTTGGGCGGGTGGGGGGTGCTCCGCAGACCTCCCAGCCAGCCTTCCTTCTATGTGTACTCATCCTGAAGGCTCAGGTCTCTATGTCCAGCACCCTACCAGGAGAGTGGCTCATGGGCCAGAACATATCCCTCTTTAGTTTGCAGAAAAGGCATTCCAGGTTACAGCAGAAAGCTTTACTATGGTATTTTGGAATTGGAAGATATTCAGCTCTGGAGCATTTTACACTATTTTAAAACCCACACTCAGTGTATGAAAGTAGGAAAATGTGGTCTTCGGTGCTTCTTTGGAAGGCTCTACTACCCTGGGGTATCTCGTCTAGTCTGGAAATGCTCAGGGATGAGGTGTAGGGGTAGGGGCTGAGTCCTCACAAAGGGGACCGGTGTTCTTAGGTGTGGGACTCAGCCCCCTGCAATGGTCACCGCTAGCAGCCTTTAATTCCTCTGCTGTGGGCATTCAGCGAGTCAGCAGGGTCTTTTAGGTGTTGCTATTCCCAGGCCAGTGGTCCCCGTAGGGAGCCAGGAATCTCAATGGCCCTGCCTGCAAGTCTCTGAGCGGCTGGGGCCCTGCCTAGCCCACCTCTGGCTGCAGCAGGCCACTGTCCCTGTGCCAGCTGTTGGAAGGGGAGCTGGGGATAGGGCTGTGGAGACTGCCAGACAGCGAAGGGTCTGCCTGATCTGTGGCCCCATCTGACCCTCTCTACCCTCCTGTTCACAGCACAGAGAAGGAAGATGTCATCTGCTACTATGGAAACCAAGGGGATCCCGAACCCATTGTCCTGGCACCAGGTGAGCCTGCTTTGGTAGGTGGTGACCGCGTCGGGGCTGCTCCTGTGGGGACACCTCTGTATTTTTCAGACTAGATCCATGTTATATTTCTCTTCTGAGACTGCTTTTTAGCTGTTGGTGTACCTTACGGCATGCACCACCTATCTGGTCCGCACGTCAGGCTGCCTTCAGCTTAGGCCACCTTCCCCCAGCACCAAGCCCGTGACTACCATGAGAAGACTGGAAACTGAAAGGCACAAAAGGACACAGAGCACCTCCTCCCCAGATTCTCTGCATTGGCCCGGAGGCCTTTGTGGAAGCATCTGGAAACCATCATGTTGCCCTCAGTTCTCAGTGCTAGAGACTCTGTCACTGGAGATGCTTGTTTCTTTGCTAGATTGTTGCTTGGAAGAAATTCTTTTCACCTGCATCCTGTGGTTTCATCCCTGAGCCTACCCTGTGTCACTGCTTTCTTTAATGACAGCTTTATTGAGATATAACTCACATATCATACAGTTCCCCCGTTTAAGCGTACCATTCAGTCGATTTTCATGTGTTCACAAAGTTGAGCAGGCGTCACTGCTCTAACATTTCCATCGCCTGCAAACCAAACCATACCCATTAGCAGGTGCTCCCTACTCCCCTGTTTCCCAGCCCCGGCAACCACCAGTCTACTTTCTGTCTCTGGATTTGCCTGGTCTGGACATTTTATGTAAACGGAGTCATACAACGTGTGGCCTTTTGTGTCTGGTTTTTTCCACTTAGCATGTTTTCAAGGTTCATCCATGTTGTCACATGAATTATTGCTTAATTCCTTTTCATGGTTGAATTATATTCCAGTGTATGTGTAGTCAACATTTTGTTTCTCCATTCACCCTTTGATGGATATTTGGGCTATTTCTACATTTTTGCTATCGTGGGATATGCAGCTATGGACATTTGTTACAAATTTTTGTGTAGGCACATTTTCATTTCTCTTGGGCATGTACCTAGGAGTGGAATTGTTGGATCATAAGGTAATTGTTTAATCTTTTGAGAAACTGCGAAACTGTTTTTCCAAAGCAGTTGTGCCATTTTACTTTCCCACCAGTATATGAAGTTTCAATTTCTCCATATCCTCCCTGAGAGTTGTATTGTTTGCTCTTTTGATCACACCCATCCTAGTGGGTGTGAGGTGTTGTCTCATTGTGGTTTTGATTTGCATGTCCCTGATGGCTAATGATATTGAGCAGTTTTTCACGTGTATATTTTCTTTGAAGAAATGTCTATTCAGAGCATGAATTGGGTTGTTTGTATTTTTATTATTAGATTGTAGTTCTTTATATTTTCTAGCTGCTAGTCCCTTGTCAGACATATGATTTGCAAAAACTGTCTCCCCTTCTGAAGGTTTTCTTTTCACTTTCTTGTTGGTTAAGAAAATGATGAACAAGAAAGTTTTGAAGTGCATTGTTTTAAATTTTGATGTCCATTTTATTATATATTATATTGTTGTTTATGCTTTTTGTGTCAGCTAAGAAATCATTGCCTGATCTAAGGTTGTGTAGCTTTTCCCCTATATTTTCCTTTTATAGAAAATATAAAAAGAGTGTTATAGTTTTAGCTTTTACATTTAGATCTTTGGGACATTTTGAATTGATTGTTGTGTATGGTGTGAGGTAGGGGTTCTACTTCATTCCTTGCATGTGGCTACGCAGGTGCCCAGCACCACAGATGGGTGGCTTTTCCTGTCACTTCTGATGGATAAAGCACAGTAATACCCTGGTGGCATGGCTATGGGGGCCTGGCAGAGCCAGGGCTGCCTTCCTTGAAAGTGGCTGATGTCACGCCATACTCAGCCAAGACCCTGCCTGGAAAATCTGGCAGGAGGAGAGGGGGCGGCTCCCTGTCCGCAGTGCATGTTTCAGACACATGACTGTGAGCTCACCCTCCCCTGCTGCCTGTAGTAGCCTCACCCCTTCAAGGCCATGCCTCTCCTTTCTTTTTCTTTTCTTTTCTTTTTTTTTTTTTTGATATGAGAAACCCTTTTTTTTTTTTTTTTTTTTGTGATGACTTCTATTAACCACTTGTTCTGAGAAAGCTTGTGCCAAGACCTTGAGGCTTCCCCAGTCAGGGTCTCCACCAGCCTGTAGAGGAGGCCCTGCCTGTGCTCACTCTGTGGGGCTGTCCTGGTGTTGGTGGCCTCTCTAACTGCTAACGTGATGTGGGTCAGGACCGATTTTGGGCAGGTGCCCTCCTGGCCTTGGTTGCTGATTCTTCCACCCTTGACCTGCTCAGGCGGACCCATGCCTTGAGGTTTTTTCCCAGCTTGGGGGGGGGGGGTGAGATGGGGAGATTGTTCCCTCTCAACGTCCCCCTTCCCTTTGTCCAGTTGGATTTCAATTTGTTTATTCCTTATTGTCAAGGCTATTTGCCCTCTGTGCCTTGCAGTCTCCTGCGGGTGCCCCACCATGTTGAGTTTTCCATCTCTTGCCGCGCAGATGGGTTGGGAATACCCACAGAGAAGATGCTGGAGAGTGGGGCAGCCTGGTCTCAGGGCCCCTGGCTGTATCCTGGCACCTCGCCTGGTGCTATGTGTGTGGGTGGGAGTTTATCCTAAAGTCAGGCAGTGTAGCGTTTACACTGATGGACTGACTCCTCCCTGTAGGCACCTATGGACTGAGCAACGCGCTGCTGGAGACGCCTTGGAAGAAGCTGTGCTTTGGGAAGCAGCTCTTCATGGAGGCTGTGGAGCGGAGCCAGGCACTCCCTAAGGATGTCCTCATTGCCCAGCTTCTGGATGTGCTCAACAACGAGGAGGCGTGAGTGGGTGGGTCCTGCTGGGGTGAACAGTGTGCCCTGCCTCACTCTGGCCCTGGGGCCAGAGAGGCAGGCAGTCTTTGCTGCCCTGTGAGGCCCGTGGAGGTGTCTGGGGCCAGCTCCTCAGCTACAGGAAAACCTGATGGATGTGCTGACACGCTGACCTCTGCCACTCCACCTGTCCCTGTGGACCTATGCGGTTTCTGACCGGGGGACTTTGATGATGGGAGATGGGGCAGTCGTGGGCTAGCGTGCTGGGGAGCTTGGTGCTTCTGGAGCTTGATGTGGGTAGGTGTGGGGCTGAGAGCAGCTGGAAGCTCTTCTCTGTTTGCACACAGGAGCCATGGCATAGACAGACCCATCCCAGCTGTTACCTGGGGAAAAGGAGCCTCACATGGCTTCCCTGAGGCACTTCAGTGACCTCTGCATGAGGCACCTGCCCCCGGGAAGCCACCCTCCGGTGGACCTCCACCATCCCAGTAATGGGAGAGCGAGCCAAGGTGCTGGCCACCCTGCCTGCCTCCCACGCAGCAACATGGCTCGCACATCCCTCCTCTACCTGACTCAGGCCAGTCCAGCATCTTGCCCAGATGCCCAGTGGCCTCTTACCGGGGCCCCACCACAGCCTGCCGCTCACTCTTCTCCCCTGGGGCCCCTCTCTGCCGCTTGCTCACCTTTCTTCTCTGAACCATGAACCAGGGCACAGCCTCAGCACAGCCGCCAGTTCAGGGAGGCCCTGCCTGGGCCCACCTAGTGGCCCTGCTTAGCTGTAAGTCCATGCAGCCCTCGGGCACTGTCTGTCATCCCCGCTGGCCCAGGACAGGCCCTGGCTGCCCTTATTGACACCTGCGGCCCCAGTGCCAGCTATCATGGCCAGCAGGCTTCAGGGCTGAGGGGGCTCCTGCCATGTGGAGAGATGCCCAAAGGGCTCTTCTTGGGACAGGCAGGGAGCCTATGTGGTCAGGTGACTGCGCCTCTCAGCTGGACCCCTGCCCGCAGCATCCACACGGACTCAGGCCCCACTGAGGGGAGAGGACAGGCTCGGTCCCTGGGTGGCTTCTGCCCCCCTGGAGGGGGCCCTGCGCCGCTCTGACCAAATGGAGCCCAGGCATTTTCAGATCCAGCAGAACCTTCCCAGCTCACAGGTGCTCCTATCCTCAGAGTCCTGGGTCCTGGATCCTGGGTCCTGGGAAGGCTCCTGGTGGCTCTGTCAGGGGCAGCTTTCCCGGTGAACACTGGTAGCCTGGACCCAGCAATGGAATCCTAAGTGAGAGTCTTGACAGAGATTTGAGCCCTTGAGCAGAAAAGTACATGAAATAGCCCTTCCAAGGTTGGCAGGCGCCTCAGGCACTACAGGGCTCTGGGCAGGCAGCGGAGGTGCTGGTGGTGACTCCTCCTCTGTCCTTCCAGGCAGTTGCCGGACCCGGCCATTGAGGACCAGGGCAGGGAGTACGTGCGGCCCATCCTGAGCAAGTACGCGGCTGTGTGCGTGCGTTGCCCAGACTACGGCACCAGGTACGGCGGGCTGCTGGGTGCATCTAGTCCTGTCCCATGAGGAACCCAGCCTTCCCCAAGCTCTGTGGATCCCAGAGCCTCTGCCTTATCTAGAAGTGGCTGCCGTTTCAGCTTGTGGGGAGCTCTGGGGTGCGCAGATGCCAGCTCCCAGGGGTGCTGCAGACCAGGCGTGCAGCCCTCAGGGCTCCCACTGCTTCCCAGGAGGGGTCCTAGGCTGCCTCCTACCCTTTTACATAGCCACGGGGGGCCAACGTGGCATCGGGCACACTCTTGTCAGCAAATCCTGTGGGCCTAGAGGTCCGACTTCTCTCTTCACCTACTGTGACCAGGATTGGGGTTAGGTCATCATAGCCTGGGATGTTGCCTTATCCCAGGAAAGGTGAAAATGTCCAGGAGGGAGGAGCTGTTGGCATGGGCGTCTGCTTCCTCGCCTCCCTCCCTGCTGGGAGGCCTGGCCTGCCCATGTGGCTCCATCGGAGGACAGCTCACGTGCTGTACTTGGAGGTGGCTGGGATGCACAGAGGAGGGTAGGTTGCCGGTCCGGCCAGGTGCGTCAGGAGTGCTGCAGCCGTGTGCCTGGCCCCCTGGCCTGGAGGTGGAGCATGGCCTCACACGCAAGCCACATCTGCCTATGCTCAGCCTGCATCAGCCCCATGGGCACCAGCCTTGTGTCAGGCTGGGGATCTGCAGCAACTGTGATGGATGGGCCCTGCACTTGGGGGCCCGTGGCCCCTAAGGACTCAGGGATGAGGTGTGTGGGCCACGACAAGTGCTGACTGGTTTTTAGGTTCAGGTTGTCTGAGATTGCGCCCAGCCCCTCCCTTCCCCTCGGGTGGGAGAGGTTGGGTTATTGCGGCCTCTGTGCAGGTGCGGGGGTGGTTCTCCCAGGAGGACGTAAGCCAGCCTTGCTGTGGTGGCGTGGCTAAGGCTCTGCTGATGCTGAGGGCGTCGGGCAGAGAGACAGACATGTGAAGTCGTGGGGACCAGCTGACCAAGAGGGTGGCAGGCCCCCCGAGTCTTCCATCCTGCAGATGACAGTTTCAGGCCCTTGGGCTGGGGGAGCGGGAGGGCGGGCAGGGCCTGCGGGGTGCAAATGCCCAGCACGGATGCTCCCGGGCCCAAGGAGGGTGGGAAGCCTCCATGGCAGTCTTTCTTTCTGAGGTGGCTTTTCCCTCGGCAGGGGCGTCATTTCCCCCAAGCCCCTCCTCCATCATAGGCTTATTTTTGTGACTCAATTTTGTGCTCACATGTACTTGGTGTGTGAGGCAGAACGCCAGGTCTACACCCTGTCTGGGTGCATGGCTGCTGAGTCCCACCGTGGCTGGGACCCCCATTTTATAATACGCATGTGCCCACTCTGGGTGTCACCCTGCACTGGGCCTGCTTAGGGACTCGGTACCTGCCCTCCGTCAATGGGAGACAGGTGCTGAGAGTACCGGCCATGGGGAGGGCCAGGTAGGAGGAGAGGTGTGCCGAGTGTTTGGGATGGGGTAGTGGGGGCTGGCGAGAGAGGGCACAAGAGAGTGTGCTAGGTGAAGAAGGCCTGGTCCCCGAACAGTTGGAAGCTCTGAGTGTCCATAGTGGTGCTGGGCCATTGCCTGAGAGCCCTGGGAGACTCTGAGGGGGAGTGCACTGTCTGCCCGGGGCTCGCCCTGGTGAGAGTGGTGGACGGTTGGGGCTTGTACTACAGAGGGTGGGCAGGGCAGGCTGGGGGAGTTTCAGGGTGGAGGCTGTAGGACTCGTCAAGTGTGGCCCTGCAGGGCCAGCCGGGGAGCTCCAGTGCCCAGTTACCCCAGAAGGGTCCCTCTTCTCCCGCAATGAGCAGCTCATTGGGGGAGATGAGCTGCTCATTAGTGATCTATCTCCAGCACAGGCCCCAGGTGTGGTGGGCTTGACCCTTCTGTCTCAGATCTGAGCTCAGTTGGGGCTCTGATAGGTGGGCATTGTGCTGAGGGCAGCAGGCTGAATATGGGCCCCGTGCTCTCTTTCAGAACCAACACGGTCATCCTCGTGGATGCAGACGGACACGTGACCTTCACAGAGCGCAGCATGCTAGACAAGGACCCTTCCCGCTGGGAGACCAATACCTATGAGTTTAGGCTGCAGAGCTAAGTCCTACCCCTGGGTGTGGCCAGACAGCCCCTGTGAGGCCCTGCCTTGAGGGCTGGATGGGAACCTTCCACAGCACATGCACTGCCCATGCGTGACTCCACCAGTGTCCCTCAGGAACAGGGCCCGCTGATTTGTGTGTGATCTCTGTGTCCCTATATCCAGATGGAGGTCCACCCTTATGCCAGTGGGAATGACAGGATCCCACAGCCAGTTCAGGGACAGGTCCAGGTGTGCTGTGCATGTGTGAATGCACCTGGCCCTGCCCCCTGCCCATGCATAAAGACACACACACAAGGCACATGCTTACACACATGCCTATACATGCACAGGCACACATGTACACCCATTGGGCACACATGCGCAGGCACAGGCAATAGCCATGTGCACACATGCTAGCACACACACATGCCCTCGTACCAGACAAGCAGAGATGTGCCTCTCACCCCCACACGTGCTTTTGGCCAGTGGGTCTTTGCTTTGATCAAAACAACAGTAGACCTTTGTTAAAAAAGTCCCCTTCTCTCCTGGGCATAGTCTAGTTCCTGACAACCAGACCTGCTTTTGAAGGAGAGAAAGGCCACACTGGGAATGAGGAATGAAAAAGACCCAAGAAAAACCTACTCTCCTAACAGAAGCTCAGGTCTGGTTGGTGGACCCAGTAGTCCTGTGTGCTCTAGGGGGTCCCACGTGCATGGGACTGTCCCGTGACTGGGAGTCCTGTGTGTGCTGGGCACCTCAGCAGCCTGTCAGGCCCTGCCTGCCCACTGGGTGTGGGTTCTGGGCAGGCCCAGCTCAGCGAGGGGACACAGCCAGCCCCTGCCTCTCCCTTCTCCTTGGCGAGGCAGACCTCATAGGGATCTGTACTTGAACGTGAGATGGCGATAATAAAACTCTGTGGCTGTGGTGAGTCCACACATTCCAGGCCCTTAACTTGTGTGCTGGGGACACTGGAGCTATTGTGTGTGAGGGGCTGGGGGCTGCTCGCCCAGGCCGCAGGAGTTCCCACGGCACAGGTGCTGGTACAAGGCTCCTTCAATTTCCTGCTTTCGCTTATGGCCTGAGTGCTCTGAGGGTCGTTGGGCAGAAGCCGGGGTGCGGGAGAGCCCGTGTATATAGGACACAGCAGGTGCCAGTGACAGGGCCTCCTGAGCTGGGCTGAGGAGCCAGGGATTTACCCAGGTGCAGTGGGGAGCCCCCGAGAACCCCCAGAGGGAGCAGTGTGGTCAGACTTGCACTTGGTGTGGACCATGGAGGCCAGATGGTGGGGTGGGTTTCAGGGTAAGAGGGTAATGGAGTCTATCTCAACCCCAGGACCGGGGTTTTGGGCAAACACTCGGGAGTCGCTGTCCCTAGCTGGGGCCAAACATAAGGGAGTTTTCCACATGTTGAATGCCATGACCCTGGCTTCCCTCTGCCTCTGTAGCTGACCCCCAACTTGGCCTTTGCAGAGAAATGAGACCTTGGGGAAGACTGTGGACCTGCATCAGGCCTGGCTGGCCTGCTCACCCCTTCTTCCTTCCCACTTCTCACGGGCCTGATGTTCTCCTTGGCTCTCTTTGACCTCAGAGGAAAAGTGCTTGAGCATATCCAGGCCTGAAGGGGGGTAGTATAGGTGACACAGCCCATGTTCCCAGGCCCAAGAGAGCCTGTGTACATGGGACACAGGAGGTACCAGTGACAGGGCCTCCTGATCTGGACCGAGGAGCTAGGGACTGACCCAGGCGCGGTGGAGAACCCCTGAGGGAGCAGAGTGGTCAGACGTGCGCTCTGTGGACCATGGAGGCGCCTCAGGCTCCCAGCTCAGGCACTGCTAGTGCCCGGCACCCTTTGTCTGCCTCACAGCATGGACCCTGTGCCAGTATCCGCCCTGGCCAGGCACGTCCACCCTCGTGGGGCACCACTGGGCTGGGAGCAGAGCCATCGAAGAGCCTCCAAATAATGTTCACCTCTGCCCTGGGAAGAGGCATCAGGGGAAAGCTTCCCCACCCTTGTCATGGGCCGCTCTGTGTCCAGCCTGCCCAGGGCTCCCCAACAGCCTGGGTCCCCTGAGGAAGGGGCAGCTCAAGGTGTGGTTCTGTGATTGTTAGGGGTTGAATTTTGTGCCCCCAAAAGATACGCTGTAATCCTTATTCGGGACCTTATTAGGTCTTTATAGAGGTAATCAAGATAAAATGAGGTCATTGGTGGGGGCCTAAACAAATATAACTGGTGTCCTTATAAAAAGGAAAATTTGGATACAGACAGACACGCACTAGAGAGAATGCCCTATGAAGACAATCATCACGCTGTCACATGCCAAGAAATTACCAGAAGCTGAGAGAGGCCTGGAACAGATCCTTTCCTGGCACCATTAGAGGGAGTGTGGCCCTGCTGTCACATTGATCTCAGACTTCAGACCTTCAGAACTGTGAGAGAATAAAATTCTGTTGTTTATGCCAGCGGTCCCCAACCTTTTTGGCATCACAGAGGGTTTCTCGGAAGATGGGGGTGGGGGGTTGGGGGAGAGCAGGAGGCGGAACTCAGGTGAGCTTTGCTCGTGGACCGGTTCTGGCCTGGGGGATGGGGACCCCTGGTTCATGCCGTTCATTTGTGATACTTTGTTATGGCAGTCCTAGAAAAATAACATTTTGAGAGCTTTACTTTACAGATGAGGAAACCAAGGCTTAGGGATACACCATAACCGTCCCTCAGTCCCAGAGCAAATGCGGAGGCAGAGCCATGAGGCCAGGAGGGAGCACAGTAAGGACAGGATGGACCTTGGGTTGCCTGTCCCTGTGGACCCACAGTCCTCTCACACTGGCCTCCTCCTGCTGCCCAGTACCCCTCCCACCTTCACCCTCTTAATCAAGCCCCTGTCACTGTTTATGGCTACACTGTCTGCACAGTTCCTGCCCTAGGTCCTTTGCTTGTCCCTTCTTCCTGAATAACTCCTCTCCCAAATGTCCCAACTGTACTCTCCCTTGCATCGTCCCATCTAAATTTGCAATTTTTCCTGCCTTGCTCCCCGCTTTTTCTCTATATCAGGCAGCACTGTCTGACATACTATGCATTTTGATTGTTTCTTTTATTTTTTTTTTCAAAGATTCTATTTATTTTTAGAGAGAGAGGAAGGGAGGGAGAAAGAAGGTGAGAAACACCAGTTGGCTGCCTCCCGCACACACCCTGACTGGGGATTGAATGTGCGACCCAGGTGTGTGTCCCCACCAGGAATCCACCTGGCGACCCTTCATTTTGCAGGATGATGCACAGCCAACTGAGCCACACTGGTCAGGGCTTGATTGTTTCTTACGTGTCTCCCTGCCAGGAGAGCTCCAGAAGTCAGAACCATTTCTCTCTTGCCCACTGCTGCATCGTGATTCCTAGGTTAGTTAGGCATTTGAACCAAGGATGACAGTGCTGATGTTTCCTGAGCCTCTGCTTATTTAGGTCAGTGCTTTGAAATGAGGCCTCTGTACTATTAGAAGGGTACAGGGACCCTAGGAAGCTGATTTTTCAAGAAGTACTTTGCACATCCAGGAAGGCCTGGACCTGCCATCGGCATGTCTTAGCCAGTCTTTTGTACTTGCCACCAGATACATATGATCTCTGAGTCCCCAAAATGGGTCCTCTTCTCCTGGGTGGAGGGGGAAGCCCTTTCTCAGATGAGCTTCTCTCTGGCTCCAAGACAGCAAGTCTATGAGCAAGCATGACCAGATCCGGAATGTAGCCTGACCTCAGGCCTTGTTCTGGCAGGCCTGGGCTCCTTGCCTTCTGCCCACAGAGACCCCCACAACCCCATCTTTTGATACTTTTTGTCAACTGATGGTCATTGCCACCAATTCATTGCCAACAGGAATCCCCAGTTTGGGATGCAGTGAAGAAGGAAATGTTATTCAGTGCAAAACAGCTCAATTTGTAATACAGCATGGCTATGAATAAAAGGACAGCTGTAGAACAACTTTGGGGCCAGCCCCTCTTCAACTAATAGCTCTGCTCTGTCCCACTCTGCTTTGCCCTGCAAGACATCTTTGGAGTTTCAATTCAGCCAAAGAAACACAGTATTCAGTTTTTGATGGAAAAGAATAATGCCAGAAGGGAGCTGGCTTATATGGACAGAAGCCCACTGCTGGTCCCCGATTGATCCATCCTCATGCAAATGAAGACCAAATCCCTGTAGTTTGATCCAAAAAGCAATCCTGTTTGGTGAGAATAGAGTCACTCTGGTTGGAGCTGGACAACTCCAATTGGACAGGGAAAGCCTCAGCCCTATTGGTTGAACTCCTTTATAAGAGCTGGCTCAGATGGCAGAAACAGTGCAGGTAGGCAGTTCAGTGATGACTTCTCTGTGAAGTGCAGTTTGTGTGAGAGGCCCCTGTGCAGAAATGGCTGCAAGGCTCTGTTTCTAAAAATTTGAGCCCAGTTAGCTCTCAGGATCCCTTCTTAGTAGGTGTCTTCCTCCCCACTCCCCGCAGAGTTCAGTTTGGATGGTATACATTTGCTGGTAACAGCGATCACTTGGTTAAGGTGCCAGCAGATGGCTTCATCCAGGCTCTTCAAGCAGAGACCTGGCTCATAGGTGAATAAGTCTGAGGTGGAAAGACAAGCCCAGAGGGAAGTTTCCTCCCCTAGATTGGGCTGGAGTTCCAGCTTCCAGGTATCAGTCTTTGTGACTCTGAGGCTGGAGCCAGGTGGGAACTGCAGGGGAGGTCCTGTGGTGAGAGTCCTTGTCCTTCGCCCAGTTGGTGCCCAGCCTTGTGGGAAGCTGGTTGTAGGGTGCATGTCTGAGGCCTCAAGTCTTACTAGGGCAGGTGCGGCCCCCAGCTCAGCACACAATGAAGTATGGAGGGGTGGCTATGGCTGAATGGTTTGTCAAGTCCGATGGAGTCTGACTGCACTGGGCCACGGCCAGCAGCTGGCTGAGTTCAGGAACCAGACCCTCATGGGGCTCGGTGCTACTGTGAGGTGACTAGTGTTGACCCAGGCTGAGTCAGCCAGGCAAACTGAAGGGGGCAGGAAGGGAGGGATGGGCCTGAGTAGGCTTCCAGCTTCACCTGCAATACTCCCTCTCCCCACCTTTATTAATCTTTTCATTTTGAAATGATTTCAACTTGCTACAAACTTGAAACAATAGACCAAAGAATTCCAGTATTCTTCAACCACTGCCCCCAAATGTTAACACCTTACCTAACCACAGTAAAATGATTACAACCAGGAAATTAGCACCGATACAATACTATTAATGGATGTACAGAGCTTATTTGAGTTTTACCAATCATCCCACTAATACATCTTTCCTAAGCCAGGCTCCACTCTAGAATCCAGACTCCACATCACAATTTGATGTGTTTCCTTTAATCAAAGATAGCTCCTTACATTCTGTCTTTGACTTGCATGATCTTGACACTAACTTTTTTTGGTAGAATGTCCCTTATTTGGGTTTGTCTGCTCTTTCTTCCTGATTACATTCAAGTATTGCCTTTTGAGCAGAAATACCAAGTGATACGTGGCCTCCTCAGGAGATCCACAATTTGTCCCTTTCCTGGGTTTTTTTTCCCCTTCATTTTTATTGAGGTATAATTAATATACAATGCAGCACATCCTTGCAGTGTATAACTTCAAAGTTTGGATGTGTATAAATTTTCTGGTGACTTTTATCACTTGGTGTCTCTCAGGTCTTTTCCACTGCAAAGTTACTAGTTAACCGTTGCGATTAGTATTTTACGAACAAACTCTGCAACTCTGCAAAACAATCCCCCACCAGTTTCTCATAGTTTTGTTTTGTGTTTTTTTTTTAGCACCCATGGTTTTTGTCTCCAGCAGTAATGTGCTGTCTACCAAAGGGGTATTTTTAAAAAAAATTTCTATCATTCTTTATTTAGTGGAATTCTGGTCTAAGGAAGAGCCGTCTCTTCTCCATTACTTATATACTCCTTTTTTGAGGCTCCTGATAACAGTATTAGCAAATGGAAAAGTCCTATACAATTGAGGATGCTTGTCCTTTTCTACCTAACGATTATGATTAATGATTTTAATTGGGAAATGTCTGCGTGGACAGTCTCTACGGCACTGTGTAGACTGGAGACGGCCTGAAGCCCAGGACCACGGAAGCGCCCTGTGCTCCAGGTGTTCCCGGCATCCCCCGTGACCCGCTCCGTTCCCAGCGTTCCCCGCGCTCCCTTGTTCCCGGCATTCCGCGCGCGCCCCGTTCCCGGCGCTCCTCGCGGCGGTCGCTCTCTACGGACGAGCCCCGCCCGGACTACGACCGTTAGCGAGGCCGCGACCTCAGCGTCTGGTCCCGCCCACGCGACCGCGCTATTGGGCTACGCGCCGAGGCCGCGAGCGCCCTGCGCTGCCGATTGGCGGCCTCTGCAGCCCGCTCCGCGGTTTCCCCAATGCGAGGCGGTCGCGCCCAGGGATTGGCCGCGCGCCGCCAAGGCCCGCCCTCCGCCCGCCCGCGCGGCAGGCGGGTCCCGCCGACCCGGGAGAGCCTGGGTGGCCTTTCTGGTTGGCGGCGGTGGTCGGCTGTGAGGGGTCTACCTATTGTGGTCGGGCTACCGGCAGCTCGGGCACGCCGCGGGTGCCGGAGGTAGGTGCGGGGCGCGAGGGGCGCCCCGCGGGCCGGGCGGGCTCTGCGGCCTGCGCGAGGGTGCGCCCTTACCCTCTCGGGAGGAGGGCCGCAGGCCCCGGCGGCACGGCGGGGCGGGGCTGGGCGGGTGGGCGTGAGGCGGGCATGGCCACGCGGAGTCTCGGCCTTTGTGAAGCTCTGTGGCCGGGGTCCTGGGAGAGCGCTGGGCCGGGGTTCCGCCCGGCGGCGGCGGTGGGACGGTGGGGGACTGCAGCTGGGGGGCGGGCCGCCACTGGTCGCTTTCCGCCCGTGTTAACAGCCCGAGTGTAAAGAAACCCCTCGCCTGTGGGCCCGAAGCTGTAGCATCGCTTTTCAGGCGGGAAAGGTATGAACATGGTAGTGTTCGCTTACGACCCTGCGGGAAATCTGAGAAGTCGCCCAAGTCTTTTTCTCCACTAAATGCTCATGGATTGAGTATCACGTTGATAATCGGGATGTGGTTTTGTTATAACAACGATCGTGGTAGAAATAAATGTAATGTGGCAACCTGTTGACTCTGATACCTGTCAAGTATCATCTGATGGACTTGGGTTGCTCATGGTAGGAATTTGATTTACCGTTTTTGCATGCTTGCATGTACCTTGTTACCTGATGCTCGGCAGTCCAGTCTAGCGCTGGTGACTGCGAGGCCAACCACTAGGACGGGACCCTCCGTTTCCTGGCAGCAGAATGGACTTTTCAGTCACAGGGCAACGGGCAACCCCCTCACAGGCCTTCACTCACCCAAGAGAGTGAATGGCCAGTCGATGGTGCTGCCTGTGAGTACAGGATGTGAGGCCCGTTGGAGGATGACAAAAGGAATGGATGAGGTCATATTGCTGCTAGGTTGGGCGGGAATCCGCAGCAGGAGAGGCTTGACCTAAAGGCCGCAGCCACAGCGTTGTACTATCACAGTCGGCGCCTCCAAGTCCGCCGAGTAAGTGGACTTCCAATGAAGAAGGGTGCTGTCCAAGTGTGTTGGTTTTACCCCTGGGTCGGGATTCAGGGAAGCCTGCTGTGAGTGAGTCTGCTTCTAGCTTACCGTCCTGCTTGGCAAGCAAGGTTTGCATCTGTGTGTTCAGTCAGCTGAGGGGGTAGTGAGGCCAGCAGTGGGATGGACCATCCTTTGAGCCCTCTATGGCCAGGCACTGTGTGGGGCAGTTCCCGAGTGTTGTTTTATAGTCTGACCATGATCTTGGGGGTAGGAAACATCTGATTGATTTGCCCAGTCGTGGCCTCTTGGACTTGCCCTCCCCTGTTTGGTGATCTCATCCAGCTTCCTGGCTTTAATGCCGTTTCTCCATCTCCAGCCCCAGCCTTCCACCTGAGTTGCAGCCTGACCTTCCTAGCTGCATCTTCCACATCTCTATGTGTTACTTTGCAGCCAAGTAGCTGTGTCCAAACCTAAACCTTGATCTTTGCACCAAAACGCTTCTCATGCTGCTTTCACCACCTCAATGCCTGACAGCTCTGTTCTTGAGTTTGAAGTCAGATGGATTCCTTTAAGGCCTCCATGCAACCCTTGGGACCGTTTCTCACCACCTCCAGCTCAGTCCTAGTGAGCCTCTTAATTATTCTTTTTGCAGTCACCCTTGCCCCTCCCCACAACCCTCACCTAAAATTTTTTGTCCATAGAATGGTTCTTTTAAATTGCAAGGTAACGTGGCCCTGACTGGTGGGGCTCAGTTGATTGGACGTCATCCTGAGAAGCAAAAGGTCGCTGGTTTGATTCCCGATCAGGGCACATGCCTGTGTTTCAGGTTCTGTTCTTGGTCGGGGCACGTACGAGAGGCAACTTATCGATGTTTTTCTCACATTGATGTTTGTCTCCCTCTCAAAAAATAAATAAATACAATCTTTTAAAAGATTAGAAAATAAATTGCAAGATAGTGTAAAATTGAGGCAGTGTGGACTGGAACTAGATTACTTGGGTGGTAAAGCAGCTCCACCACTTTCTAGCTATGTGACCTTGAACAAGTTGCTTAACCTTTCTCTCAGTGCTGTGTGAGCACTGGCAATTGAAAATGTATAAAGTTCCCTGGCTGGTGTAGTTCAGTGGATTGAGTGCTGGCCTGCAGACCTAAAAGTTGTTGGTTTGATTCCTGGTCAGGGCATGTGCCTGGGTTGTGGGCCACTCCCCCAATTAGGGGCAAGAGAGAGGCAACCGATCAATGTTTCTCTTGCACATCATGTTTCTCTCCCTCTCCTTCTCCCTCCCTTCCCCTCTAAAAATAAATAAAATATTTAAAAAAAAAAAGAAAATGCATAAAGTGCTTAGAACAGGGTCCTGCTGAGAGTTGGCTGGCTGCCACTGCTGTCCTTGGATCATGTGACCTCACTGCTTGGATCCTCCTGTCCAGTGGCCCATCTCAAGATAAGAGCCAGAGTCCTGGTCTTGCTTTCCCTCATTGACTTGGCCTCCTCTCACACCCCCTTGGCACACTGCTCTCACCTGCCACACCACACTCCTACCCCAGGGCCTTTGTTCTCCGTGTGCTTGGAATGTCCCCTCCTCACACTCCCACGGCCCACCTGGCTCACTTTCCTTACCTTCAGATGGACGCTAGCTGTGAGACCTTCACTGTTGACCCTTTCTGAAACTCTCTCCCCTTCCATAAGTCTTTTGTTTTCTCTTGAGCGCTTCTAAGTTTTTCTTAGTTGTAACTTGACTATCTTCCTGTTAAAATAGGAGCCCTGGGGGCGGGGATTTTGTCTATCTGGTGTCCTCACCATCTAGAATAGTGTGTGTGCACCATTTGTAAGGTGTTCAGTGAACATTTGTTGACTGAGAAAGCTTGCAGAGGGACAGTAAGGAACTTGCCCAGGACCACCACACTGTGTGGCTTTGCTCCTTGAGCTGCTGCCCTCGGGCTGGGCGGGTTTTCCTGATCCCCCAAGGGGCTCACAGTTTCTCTCCAACCCTGCCCTTTGTGCCTCTTCAGGGCTTCCCTTCCTTGGTTATTACTATTACCACCTTTGCTTTGTGTTTTCACATGGCTTCTCCTTAGCCTTTTAACATGGTAGCAAGTGTTCCCTTCCTGTACTGCCATTTGTCTTCAATCCCCCCATCTCTTCATGTCTTCATCTTAGCCTTTTTTTTTTTTTTTTAAAGCCCCCAGAGTCACAAATTGGCTCTAGTGGGAGTCTCGGCAGACCTGCCAGGTGCTGACGGGTTTGGTCCTAGTCTAATCTGTGTTCTGTAGCGCTGGGCATGCTGACCTGCCTGTCCTTTTCTTAAAATGGTCTTTCTTGGTTGCCAGGAGACTGGTCTTACTCCACTTGGTGTTCCTGGTGCCTCTCTGGCTGCAGCCTCCTCAGCGTTTACTGCAGTTCAGTCTTTATCTATCGTTATCTGTGTGCTGCATTTCCTTCATCCTTACCACCTTTGATGGAAACATCTCTGGGGGAGGTATTGTGTTAAGTTACCATTGAACCAGAACAGTGAGGACATCTTAGAATCTTTGAAATAAGAGTGGCAGCTCCATGGTCATTGCCCTTCTAACTGTCCAGGTGGTGGGGACCTTGTCTCTTGTTTGTGGTAGTGCCTCCCTTGGAGTAGACAATCAGTATTTGTTGAATGAATTGATTAAATCTAAATAAGCCTCTGGTTTTTATGCTGTGTTACCTTCACAATACAACCACTGTGCTCCATTCCTTTACCAAAAACTTTTTAAACTGGTGATGTCTGCTGACTTCTGTCTGTGCAGTCAGTCCAGGTGCCCCGTGTGCATATAGCAGCATGCATGTGCATATTTGCACCCGTGTGCATGGCATATTTGTGTGTTTGTGTGTCTGCACTGTGTATGCGCGCCTGCATGTGCTACTGCTCTGATGCCCGTGCCTCCTGCAGACCTCTGGGTTTTGGATTGCCCCCCTGAGCTTTCCTTCTCAGCCTCATGTCAACCCTCTTGTCCTGCTTCCTCTGGAGTGAAGCTTCTCAGAGTTGCGTCCTCAGCCTGCTTCTTGCTCTGTGTTCCCTCCCTGGGTGGCATCTCTCTCTTCTGTAGTTTTGATGACTGGCTCCTTGGTAATGCATCCTGGCCCCCTTTCTCTGGGCCAGTCACAGTTCCAGAGCTGTAGTCTCAGCACCTGTTGGACAGGAATGCCTGGAGACTTCATCTATTCCCCTTAGGGCTCCTGCCTGAATGCTGGAACACATGTGTCCCTCCAGGAAAGAAACTCATTTGCCTTCAATTCCCTCTTGTCTGTGCTCTCCACCTGCACCCAGTTGGGAGAGCAGTTAGCTCTGTGTCTTCACTATTCTTGAAGGCTCTTGTCCCTCTTTCACTCCTAGGCCCACTGGCCAGGAGGACTCCTGTGCCTGGCGCAGTGGTTAGCCTCCTTTCTCAAATAGGGATTGAACTGTGGCATGAGGGTCACCTCACCCTCGGTGGCTCCTCATTGCCCCCAGGATGGAGCCAGGCTCCAGATGGCACTTAGAACTCCCTGTGCCTTGGCTTCAGCTGTCTCCTGTAGCTGCCCCACCAATCCTGGCCTGGCTCCCTTCCCACAGCCACCACCCCCTCCTCTCCTGGGAACAGAACCACGCCACCTCTGGCGACTTCAGCACGCTGCATCACTGTCCCGGTCCACGTGCCACCTTGTGGGCCCAGGAGAGCCCTGGGGTTCCAGGGTAACAGAGCGCCTGGCCGTACCTCTGAGGCCCTAGTGCTGCAGAGTTGAGCTGAGGGTCTCGCGCTCACCCTCTGACTGACCCAGCCCTGGCAGGTGAGTAGATTGATGTTGCTCTAATGGCCGGAGGGAGGCCGCACACCTTATGTGTGTTCTGGAAAGGGCAGCCTCGCACCGTTTGCTTGCTTATCTAATAAGCTTAGGGGAATGCTGCGGTGAAGTTCAGTGTAGGTTTTTAAAAAAACCTTTTGAGTCTTAAGATAATGTTGTTTTTATGCTTCTGATGTAGGGACTACAGTGGACAATTAATAAAGTATTTAACTTTGGAATTATTATCACTTAGGTCCTGAAGAAACAAAAAGTAAAGGTAGTTTGTTTTAAAGCCTAAAAGTTTCTTTTAGACAGTATTATTTTACCTACTGTACATTGTTAATAGCATTTGACTCTTGGTACCAGGGAAGTGGAGGGCTTCTGTCATTTGTGATGATGTTTTTAAATCTCTTTGCAGGTAGAAGAAAAAAGGTGCCACTTTGGCATGAAGACAGAATCGCTTAGTCGTCAGTCATTTAAGCTGAGTGCATTGTGATTTCCAATAATTGAGGCAGTGGTTCTAAAAGCTGTCTACATTAATGAAAAGAGCAATGTGGCCAGCTTGACTAAGCCGTCAGCGTGTGCAGCGCGGGCAGGACGGCACCGGGTCTCGACGGACTTGTGCATGTTAGCTGTATAGATTTATGTAAGGTTTTTAAAAACTGGTCTTTTAAAATAGTCTTAACTACTTTTACTATGGAGACATATGAGAGTCCCTCTCCTCTCCCGCGTGAGCCCGCAGGAGAAGCGGTGATGGAGAAACGTGCTTGCCCCCTCCAAGCGCTGCCCTGTGAACAGTCTCCACCACCTCCCCTGCAAACGTCCAGTGATGCAGAGGTAATGGACGTTGGCTCTGGTGGTGATGGACAGGCCGAACCCCCTGCTGAGGACCCACTCAACTTCTACGGAGCTTCTCTTCTCTCCAAAGGATCCTTCTCTAAAGCCCGCCTCCTCATAGACCCGAACTGTAGTGGCCACAGCCCACGCACCGCCCGGCACGCACCTGCGGTCCGGAAGTTCTCCCCTGACCTTAAGTTGCTTAAGGATGTAAAGATTAGCGTGAGCTTTACCGAGAGCTGCAGGAGTAAGGACAGGAAGGTGCTGTACACAGGAGTGGAGCGCGACACTCGTGCGGAGTGCGGTCTGGCCCTTAGCCCTGTCAGTGGAGACGTGCATGCTTGTCCCTTTGGTGGGAGTGTTGGTAACGGGGTAGGCATAGGGGGTGAGAGTGCTGATAAGAAGGATGAGGAGAATGAGCTGGATCAGGAAAAGAGAGTGGAGTATGCAGTGCTCGATGAGTTAGAAGATTTTACTGACAATTTGGAGCTAGATGAAGAAGGAGCAGGCGGGTTCACGGCTAAAGCAATCGTGCAAAGAGACAGAGTGGATGAAGAGGCCTTGAATTTCTCCTATGAGGTATGTCAGTGACCTCTCCTTTGGAGTGCTCTTAACAAAACCCAAAGAGAGGTGTTTGGGAACTGCAGCATCTTTTGAAAGCTGATGTTGCAGAGGAAAAAAGCCCATATAAGGTGGGATAACATTCATTTGGAAAAGAAACCACATTTTTTAACTTTAATGAAAAGCTTGGCTGACACTCCTGCCTTGTACCTTTTACCCAGCCTGAGTTGGAAGGTGCTGCTGAGACGCGCTCCATGATGGTGTATGTGCCTGGACCAAGCCTTTTGGCTTCAGTTGTTGGTTTCATCCCTCTTGTTTTTTCAGATGATCATGCACCATAAAGGCACACCTAGGTCCCCTTGAGAGCGTCTCATTTCTCTGTTCATTCTCACTAGTGTCATTAAGCTTGCCCGTGGTGCAGGAATGTAGGTACCAGGACCATGGTGTCTGAACAGTATGTCTTGCAGGACGATTTTGACAATGATGTTGATGCTCTTCTGGAAGAAGGCCTTTGCGCTCCCAAAAAGAGGAGAGTGGAGGAGAAATACGGAGGAGACAGTGACCATCCGTCTGATGGAGAGACAAGTGTGCAGCCGATGATGACCAAGATTAAAACAGTGCTCAAAAGTAAGTTGGCTGGTAAAAAAGTAGTGAGTGTTCGCAGGGCAGCAGAAGTGCAGGTTTGCGAGCCTTTGGGATACCAGACAGCAGTCTGGGCATGCTTTTGAGGGCAAGATAATCATGTTTGGTGAAGGGGAAACAGACAAGACACGAGGATGCACCCAGAAGCAATGCAGTCTCTACTGGCTGTGGAGTGGACATGTCAATGGTGGGCAGCATGTCTGCCCCTGTTGGCTAGTGGTTGGAGCAGGACGGGCGTTGGGTTCATTGATTGCAGATGGAGATGAACTTGGGTCTCAGCTTCTGAGAAGGGATTAAAGGGGCAGTCCTCACCTCACCTTAATTCTTCTAGCAGGTGTGCTTTGTGCTCTTTCTGTGGTTTCAGCAACCTCATTCTGAGCAGGTAAAGCCGTGCCCATACTGAGCAGAGCACAGGTCAGCAGTATGCCTGACCATTCGGTCTGCCTGCATGGGTGCTGCCTTTTTCTCTGCAGCCTTTGCTACCTGGCAGCCTGCCTGGAAGTGGTGCCTCCCTCTCAGGAGTTGCAGCTTGGTCCTCATGCTCACAGACTGCATATGAGTGGCATATGAGCTCTTCAGAGAGCCGGGGTCACTTTATTGACCACTCATTGTCATAAATGAGTGGCCCAGATGCACCTGTGTCCCATGTTGCCCTTGGCTTGTATTTCATTTGCTTTTTCTCCAAACTTAGCTCAAAGCTGGTGTAAGGCAGCTTCTTGGCCCTGACTCACTGGGGAGAGTGCCTGATGGCGTTCACACATTTCTGACCTGTAGCACTCCCTCCTAGGGACCATCCTGATGTCAGCTGTCCAGTATCCGCCACATGCGGTTGTCGGGCCTGGGGCCCTCCTTGCTAGGCAAGGACCTGGTACTGGGGTGCCACTCCCTTTTCCATGAGAATTACTGGTGCTGTTTTCATCGTGCATATATTTTTGAAGATTTCATTTGCTTTTTTTCCTTTTATTTCTTAAATTTTTAACTTCATTGCAGTACCTGTAAGAAAGTTGAGTTTTAGTTATCTTTGCCCTATGCTTTTCCCGGCGACCGCATGTGCCTGCTGTCAGGTGGATAACAAGTCTTGAGCTTTTTATTAATGAATGCCTGTAAAGTGAGGAAGGGGTTGGTTGTAGTGTTTTAAAACTGATTTAGATTTTTCCTAGTTTGAAGTAGTGTTTTACATGCTGGTGAAAGTTTTGCAGCTTAGGTACAATCAAGACTTGTCACCTGGTCACAGGGAGTTAGTGTTCAACAGACATGACATGCATTTTATTAGGAAAGCTTACCCAGCCCCTGGGGTGCCTCTGGCCACAGCCAGGGCAGGAAGGTGATCAGTCGAGTGTCCGTGGTGCTCACCATCTGTGGAGGCATCAGCTGAGGCTCCTTCATGCACCACATGCTCTTCTAGGCCAGGAGTACAGCTGTGAGCAAGGTAGACAGTTCCCTGCTGTCAGAGAGGGACTTGGATTCTATTGGTTAAAACCAGATAAACAAGCACAACGAGAGCAGTTTCAGGCACAGGAGGTGCTGGGAGGTGCCAAGCAACAGGCAGCACTGGCTGGGATAGGTTCTGTCTGGAGGGTGGGGTACTTCCCTCCTTGCCTAGTTCTTAGGTTCTTTTCCATATTTGTTCCATTTTACCATTTTTATCTGCCATATGTAATAATTTTTTAAAAGTCCCAACAGTTTTTGTGTTTTTCAAGTGATTGTAGGATGTTCTTCTGTGCAGGTCGTGGCCGCCCACCTACGGAACCACTGCCTGATGGGTGGATCATGACATTCCATAACTCTGGAGTCCCCGTGTACCTACACAGAGAGTCTCGGGTGGTCACCTGGTCCAGGCCGTACTTCTTGGGAACGGGAAGCATACGGGTAGGGGATGCATCAGTCATGAATTTAGTCTTGTAAATTCCCAGACAAGAACATGCATATCTGCACACATTGCATCATAGCCAAGCCAAGGCAGGTGAAAGACACAGGATATTCAGACCTTCTGGGCCATTCTTGTAATCTGTTGCAATCTTATTATCCACAGAAACATGACCCTCCTCTGAGTAGCATCCCCTGCCTGCATTACAAGAAAATGAAGGACAATGAGGAAAGGGAGCAAAACAGTGAGCTCGCCCCTAGTGGGGAGGTGTCCCCTGTCAAGCCCCTCAGCCGATCTACAGAGCTGGAGTTCCCCCTGGAGGAGCCTGACTCCATGGGGGCTGACTTGGGACCCCCAGATGAGAAGGACCCGCTGGGGGCTGAGGCCGCCCCTGGAGCCCTGGGGCAGGTGAAGGCCAAAGTTGAGGTGTGCAAAGACGAATCAGTTGGTAAGTTTCCAGAGGGAATTCTCTTTCCCCTTTGCTGCCTTGTGCTATCTATCTGCAGGGATGCCACTACATTCCGCGGCTTCCCGGAGTCCCCGTCCTCCTGCTGAAGGCTGTCTGTTCCTAGTTATGTGTATGAGGAAGGGACTGCTGGGGACTTCTCTCTACTCTTGCATGGCTGGAAAGTCCCCACGCCCTGTCTGGAGACCCTGCCTGGGTCCCATGCTCCAGGCCCCTACTCCTGGGCTCTGGCTGGGCCCTCATGGCCAATGCTGCCATGGAGATGGCTGCAGTCGGTGCAGACCTTTTCTCTCTGGTGACTTTTATGTTCTTTCCTGAAGTCTGGCTTTTTTACAGTAGGATGTGTTCGTGTGGTGTTTTGATTTATCTGATGCACTCTGCACGAGCTTCTTCAATCCACAGACTTGGTGTTGGGAAACTTCCACTATTCTGTGGACATTTCACGCTTAAACCCTGCAACTGTTTTTTGGCTGTGTGTTGGTATTTCTCACTCTCTCTTCTGTGTCTTTTAGCTTAGTTCTACCCGTTCAAGTCTAAGTTGTCTCTTCAGTGTTGGCAAACTATTTTAGCCCACCCGCTGAATCTTATTCAAAGAGGACTTTGTGTTTCAGGATTTCTGGTTGTATTGCTGCCTGGCTTGTCTCATAGCTGTTGCATGTGAGGAGCCCTAGAAGAGCTAAGGCGGATGGATGGCTTCTAGGGATGTGGGAGAAGCAGCATGAGGGCTGGGGCCTTGGACATCTGGGGAGTGGGCAGAGTCTCACTCAACCCCCAGCTCCCCCAATGGATGAACCTCGATCTCTCCTGAACCTGTCTGTCTGGTGTTGCCTCCCTCCCCAATCCAAGTTGGCTTCCTGTCTTCTGTTGGTGTGCTGGGGCTTTTCTCGGTAACCTAGCTAGAGGGGAGCTGTCCCTTTAAGGCAGTGGGGCAATGGTTTATTTTTTCACACCATCTTTTATGTACATGTGAATGAATATGTCCCTGTTTTGTTTTTTTTTTAAACACCTGCCTCTGACCTCTAAGCTCTGTCCCCTGCGAGAGGTGACCGCTGGTGCTTATTTCCAGACTTCTCCGCATTCATATGTAAAGAAATATATAGTTCAGTTTATAATTAAGTGGGTGTAAGTTTATTGTTTTACAGCCTTTTATGTTAAAAGGCTGCATCTCAGTCTTTCTACATGGAACCCCTCCCTCCACCTTCTGCTGGCACTGCCCTTAGCGCTGGGCTTAAGCCAGGGCTTGACTGGTAGGAGGCAGGTAGGAAACTAGCGAGGCCGATGGGAACCTCCAAGGAGTACTGGGGTGAAGAGGGGTAATAGGTGTAACAGTGGAAGTAGGGGGCCCCGGGGGCCTCACTGAGTGATGGTGCGGGGGGACTTAGTGGAGGCAAGGCACTGGGGGGAGCTGTGGGGCTGAGCCAGGGACAAAGTGGGGAAAGTTGTGATGAGTGCCAAGGCCTGAGCTGCCTGGGTGTGTTGCTGAGTTTGGAGGCCGCCAGGGTGGCTGGAGGGGAGAGTGCAAGATGGACAGTGGGTGCACCGCTCCCCTGACTGCTCTTGGCAGGCGGGTGCCTGTTTTGATACAGGGAGAAAGACCCCGAAGGCTGCCTGATTTTTTTGTTTTTTAATCTTTTTTTCATTAAAAAATAAAATCCTTGTTCTTTCTCCAAATAAACTAAAAGAATATTCCAGAACTTTGTTCATAAGGACCTGCCATAAATATTTGAACTGTCTGAGTGAAGGGACCTAATTCTTTACTTTCCTTGCCCTTCAAAAGGAACAGGGAAAGAAAAGTGGGTATTGCCTGGTGGGACCTGTCTGATGGGCAGGCCATTGCTGTCCACGACTTAACATTGAAAGTTAGTAATTTGGTTCTCTGGAAATCTTATACAGATCTTGAGGAATTTCGGAACTACCTGGAGAAGCGTTTTGACTTTGAGCAAGTTACTGTGAAGAAATTCAGGACTTGGGCAGAGCGGCGGCAGTTTAACCGAGAAATGAAACGGAAACAGGCCGAATCTGAGCGGCCCATCCTGCCAGCCAATCAGAAGCTCATCACTCTATCTGTGCAAGATGCACCCACAAAGAAAGGTGAGTTGGAGCTTGTAAATTGTAACATTGCAGACTAGTTATACTGTTATTTTTTCATTTGATCTTAAAATGTGTGAGTTGCATTTTAATTCAAAGCTTATGTTTACCCTGCAAATGAAGATGTCCAACACATTCATGGCAGTGATCCTCTAACACAGTGACCTGGTCACTTGGATGGTGCCAGGTCCCAAGTGCTAGCTTCTAGTGGGGTCCTCACACTGTTGTTGAGAAGGTCCTTCTTGTCACAGAATTTGTCATTAACCCCAACGGGAAATCCGAGGTCTGCATCCTGCACGAGTACATGCAGCGTGTCCTCAAGGTCCGCCCTGTTTATAATTTCTTTGAATGTGGTAAGTTTGACCGTCCCGTCTCAGTCCTAAGATCACACATCTTCCTTTGGTCATGGCTGTGGAGGTGGGCGCTGGCTGTTAGCTGAGCTAGAATGAGAGGGGAGGGCCGGGAGAAGAGGGTTGCAGATAGGCAGTTGGGTTTTGTGGCACTGTGTGCAGCCTGAGGATCAGTGCCCTCTGCTTCCGCCTTCATTTGTTCACAGCCCCCCTCCCTCATCTTTCTTTGTTCCTTGTTCTGAGGAAGGCCTCCTGCAGTCGCCAGGCTCCCCCGGGTTGATGAGGGGTTTCAGGCCTGCGCTTCCCGTCAGCTCTCTCCCGTCCATCCTTGACACACCTTTGTGGAAATCAGTTTGTCTTCCCCTTGGAAGCCAGAACCTAGGAATTACTCACTGTTTTTCATGTCGTTTCTTTGGCTCACTACATCTGTATACCCCTGCCCCTCACAGTCTTCTGTCCATGTATCACAGATGTTGATCTCTGCCCCTGGTGTTGCTGCCTCTGACCTCTCGTTTCCCCTCTAGCTCACTGTCCCATGGTCCCCATTGTCCAAGCTCTTCCAGGTGTACTCTCTGCTTGCTGACCATCTCAGCCCCAACTCAGTGCCTAGGGAGTGCCCATGTCTCTGCCTCTAGCAGCAGTCCTGACCCTGCCCTGTCTGTTGGTGTGAGCAGAGTGTGTGTGTGTGCGTGCATGCTTTTAAAGTCTTGGCAAGTGTGTTTTAAGACAATAATTTTAATTTTAAGAGAACCCAAGTGAGCCTTTTGGCGCCTCGGTGACCATTGATGGTGTGACCTATGGATCTGGAACTGCAAGCAGCAAAAAACTTGCGAAGAATAAAGCTGGTAATGTGCCTGCTGAGGTGTCAAGAGCCCCACGCTGCCTGCGGTGCCTGCCCCTCCCCTTGCCCAGGGAGGACTGAGCAGCAGCCCAAGTGGGAGGGGTGTGGGTGGGGAACCCATTTTATTTATGTAATTATCTATTTTGATTTTTAAGAATTATGTGCTCATTGGAAAGATTCAAATATAGAAAGTAAAACCTGAGAAATAAAAATAGAAGGTCCCTTTTCTATTTACTGGCAGCTGGGCTGACATTTCCCACCCCTTTCCCCTCCTCCCAGAGCTGGCTGGGCTGTGCTAGGCACACATTTCATAGTAGATTTGTGTTTAAAGCGAGCAGAATGTGCGGGTATGCTAGGAGATGAAAAACAGGTGAGTCAGCATGCTGTTGGCATTCTCTCACAGTGGTTTTGACATTTATGAGAACGATTTCCTGAGCCCTTCAAACTACAAATTTGGGACTGCCACTCATTGAGCACAGCATAGCAGAACAGTGAGAAAGCTTATGTTTTCTGGTTAAAGCTCATTGCTCTTTTTGACCGTGTAGGTGCTGTTCACTTTTGTGCCCAGCAGTAATAGTTACTGGCATTCCTTTCCAGAAGCCGTTTGTTCCAGCATGAGGGCTATTTAGCCTCTTCTTAGGAGTGGACCACATTTCAGGGTGGGCGTTGGGTGCATTCCAGGCCCTGGCACCCATAGGTTGATTCTTGAGGTTTCTACCCTTCCCATATTGTCTTCCAGAGCGGCTCAGCCCTCTGGTACAGTGCGAAATATGTCAGTTTTATCAAAGCTTTGTCACTGGGTCTCCAGTCAGTGAAAATGTTTTTGTTCCTGGGACTCAGCATTTCCCTTGTGTTGCTTTCTTTTGTTAGCGTATGCTGAGGACAGTTGGGATACTGCATTATTGTCTGTCCTTCCTCTGTGAGGCTGTGCTGGGCTCACACACTCTGCCCCATTCTCCAGGAAGGCCTGTTGTGGATTTTTGAAAAATTCTGCCAGAAGACTTTGCTCAACTGACTGGGTGTTACGGAGGTCATGGAGCAGATAACCCGCAGAGCAGGGCCCAGTATGGGGGTGGGAACATCCTGGTGGCAGGACGCTGCTGCACTCCTCCCCATGTGCAGGGACCCACTTCTGCCCAGACCCTGCTGCTGTCTAGAGACCTGCATTTGGATGTCTTGCTAGCACCACAACCCTGCAGGGTCAGACAGTTGCACACCCCCGTCCCTCTAGTGCCCCATTTTTCTCACCCCAGGGGTGAGTGGCAGCCTTGCTCAGTTGAGCATCTGTGCTTAGCATGTGCTCTGTCCTGCAGATGCTTTCTCCAGAGGATCCTTCCGGTCTGGCTGCATCCGCATGCCGCACCCATGTACCCTGCTCAGTTCACTGTCCTTCCTACTTGGTCCAGGTTCTGCTGACCCATTTGCCTGCATGTCACATGATTCCTCTGACATGCAGGTCTCCTCTCCCTAATCTGCTGCAAGGTGCCCCCAGTGCTGTCTCCTTTTCTTAGGAGATGCTCTTTTCCATCCTCTGTTGTCCCTGCCGCTGAAGTACTGCTGCTCCCTGGGGCCCTTGATCCCCACTGAGCCCTGGGGTCCCTGGCCCTCCCTGCAGAGGAGCCAGTGTGTAGCCTGTCCTGCACGTGGGAAGCAGGCTGGGCCCAGCCCTCCTCCTCAGGGTTTTTCTTTTCATAGCCCGAGCTACGCTGGAAATCCTCATCCCTGACTTTGTTAAACAGACTTCTGAAGAGAAGCCCAAAGACAGTGAAGAGCTTGAGGTGAGTGTCATGACTCTGTCCTGTGTGAAGCTGTGACTCCAACCCAGCTGGTCCTGCCTGGTTAGTGCAGGCTGTGCTCAGCGATCGAATCTTCAGGTGGTGTTTGCTCCTATTTCATAAAAGGGGGAACTTGCATATCTTTGTGCAAATGGGAAAAATGTCATTTTTATCCCCTGTGTCATGTAATTGGTAGTAGGAAGTTGCTTGTGCATGATAAATGTATTTGGAAGTAAATCAACTTCCTATATACATCTGTGGTGGGAATGAACCTTTGAGGCAGAATCAACAAAAGTTAGATTGTTCTTTTTATTAAGAACCATTTAAAACTACTTGTGAACTTTCTTTTTTTTGTATATTTGGTTCTATGATTTGTAACGAGGGCTTCTCAAACTCTGAAGAATACTTTTTTTATGAAAGCTTTATTGATATATATTTTAAATACCATAAATGTTACCTTTTTAAACTACAGTTCAGTGGAGTTTTGTATGTTCAGACTTGTATGATCATCACAATAATCTATAACCTTAGAATATTTTGACACTCACTCCCAATTCTCTCTAATCCCTAGCCTTTCAACACCTGGAAACCACTAATTTACTTGTTGTCTCTATGGGTTTGCCAATTCTGAAGATTTCATGGGAATGGAATCACATTACATGTAGTCTTATGTGACTGGCTTTCCTTTCACTCAGCATTTTTGAGAATATTTTCTTCTGTTCCTGGTTTGCTGAGAGTTTTTGCCAAGAATAGATGTTAGATTTTTCTGATAGCTTTTCTGTTTCTCTGTTGAGATGATCGTGTGGTTCTTGTCTTTTTTTTACTTTACTATTATGGTGATACATTATATTGATTTTTTTTTTTTTAAATGTTAAACCAACCTTGCATTCCTGGCATAAATCCCACTTGGTCATGATGTACAGGATGCAATCATTTTTATGGGTTTCTGGATTTGGTTTCCTAGTGTTTTCGTTAAGGACTTTTGTAGCTGTATTTATTTATAGGGGATACTGATCGATAGTTTTCTTCTGATGTTTTTGTCTGGTGTTGGTATTGGGGAATCCTGGCCTCAAAGAATGAGTTGGAAAGTGTTCCTCTTCCATTGTGTGGAATAGTTTTTAAAGGATCAGTATTAATTTTTTAAACATTTGGTAGAATTTACCTGTGAAACCATTGGGGCCTAGAATTTTATTTGTTTGAAGTTATTTAATGTCTAGTTCAATCTTTTTACTTGTTATATATACCCAGATTTTTGATCTCTTCTTGAGCCACTTTTGGGACTTTGTATATTTCTGGGAATTTAAAAATTTGATCTAGGTTATCTAATTCATTGGCATAAATTTGCTCGTAGTATTTCCCTATAATCCTTTTTATTTTGGTAAGGTTGTAATGTAACTGCTTTAGTGCTTGATTTTAGCAGTTTGAGAGAGTCTGTTTTTTTAAAAAGTTCTAACCTGAGGACATGTTTAGTGATTTTTAGAGATCGGAGGGAGTGGGGGCACGGGGAAGAGAAACATTGATGTGAGAGAGAAACATTGATCAGTTGGTTCCTGTACATGCCCCAACCCAGGATTGAACCTGCAACCCTTTTGGTGTATGGGACAACACTCGAACTGACTAAGCCACCCAACTAGGGCTTGAGTCTCTTTTTGCTCATGATCAGTCCAAAGTTTTATTAGTGTTGTTGATCTTTCCAAAGACCCAACTTCTGGTTTGTCTTGTTGACTTTTAAATATATCTGCTGTAGCCTTTCTTGTGCCAGCTTTGGGTTTAGTTCCTTCTTTTTATAGTGTCCCATGGTTAGGGTATTGATTTGACATTTTCTTTTTATATATGGGGCTTACAGCTATAAATTTTCTTGTATGTACTATTTTAACTTCATCCCATAAGCTTTACTGTGTTGTGTTTGTTTTCATTCATTTCAAAGTATTTTTCTAATTTCCATTGTAATTTGTTACTTGAACCCATGGTTACTTTAGTTTACATACATTTGTGACTTCCAAATTTCATTTAGTTACTAATTTTTGACTTAATTCATTGTGGTTCAAAAACATTGTGGTTTGTATGATTTCAGTCAATCCTTTTAAGTTTATTTAGGGTGGTTTTGTGACCCTAACATGTGATCTGTCCTGGAGAACATTCCATGTACATGTGAGAAGCATGTATATTTGCTGTTATTGGGTGGAGTAAGCCAGATAGATGTCTTTTATGTCTAGGTGGTGTGTAGTGTTTTCTTCCTATTTAATCCGTTACTGTGAGTGGGTATTAAAGTCTCCAGTTGTGATTGTTAAATTGTTTATTTCTCCCTTCATTTCTGTCAGTTTTTGATTTATGTTTTTTGGGACTGTTGTTAGGTGCATATATGTTTGTGGCATTTGCTGTAATAAGAAATTTATGTTTGGTCTTTGACCTTGGTTCCTGGGACAGAGCTAAAGTAATACAATGTTATTTTTTGTTCCCAGTTCTTGAACCAGCTCCAGGTTGATAAAAGTGAATGGAATATTTTTTGTTACCCTTTTTTTAACTGATTTTTTTGGGGAGGGGAGCGGGGGGTGGGGGGGGGGGGAGAGAGACACACACATCGATTTGTTGTCCCACTGATTTATGCATTCATTGGTTGTCCTTGTATGTTTCCTGACTGGGGATCGAACCCACAACCTTGGCACATCAGGATGACACTTTCACCAACTAAGCTGCCTGGCCAGGGATGTTTTTCTTAATACTCCCCTTTATACCACACTGGAGTTTATTTATGTTAATTAAGTGATTTTTGGAAAGACCCTTAGGATTGGGGCAGGGGGAGCGCTGGTTGCCAGGGGAACCTACATTTAATTAGAGGGTTGGAACTTTCAGCCCAAACCATCATTCCATCCCCACCCCCAATTTTCAGCCATGGGGTAAAAGGGATGGAGGTTGCATTAATCACTTATTTCAATGATGTAATCAGTTGTGCCTCTCCAGTGAAGCCTCCATAAAAAACCCTAACCAGTGGCATTCAGGAGCTTCTGGGCTGGTGTGAACCCGTGGACCTAGAGGAAGAGGGGTGCCCGTGAAGAGGGCAGGGAGCTCGGCACCCCTCCCCTTGCACAGCACTTTGCCCTTTGCCCGCAGTTTTCAACCAGTGCGCTGCAAGAATTGTTAACACATGCAGTGCCTTTCTATTTAGTCAGGGTGCTGACCTTTTTTTCCCTTAGATTGTCAATTAAAAAATGTTAACAGCCAACACAACAATAGCTGTCCAGTATGAATAAATAAAAATTATACCTATTTTTTTCTCAGATTGGCAAAAAATATATATTTTTTTGGTGTGACACAGAATTTTAGTAATTAGTTTATGTGTGCCCGGAGGTGAAAAAGGTTGAAATCATTGGAATAGGGCAATGCAGGTAGTTTGTATTTGCCAGCAATTGCCCTGTTTTATCTAAATTTTTGAATTTACGGGTGTTGGGTTCTTTGTGGTGCTTCCGTGTGGTCTTTCACTGTCTGTCAGGCACTAACCTCCTGGGCTCTCCTGTGCTGCTCTCCGTGGGTCCCTTCGGTCCTTTGCCTGTGCTGTCTTGAGTTGGAGTACCCACACTCCCCTGGGCAGGTTTACCATCAGCTATTTGATAATTGTGGTATGGGCCTTTGCCAGAGGCTGTTGGGTATTTTGGGGCTTCTGAGTGCGTCGCGCACACGTGTGTTGGCCTCAGCTCTGCCAGGGAGAAAGCTGGAGCAGTAGGGTGCGTAGGTTCTCCTGCTCGGCCTGATCGCAGGTCCACAGCCCAGGTGCTGACTGCTGGTTAGAGAGTGGGTCTTCACAGGGTGGATGAGAAATACAGACAGTGCTGATGGATTGGCTGCCTAACCACCCATTAAGGATGCATTCAGGGCCTGGGCCTGACTTACTGTGAGCAGGTTTTCCTGGAAACTGACCTACACTCATGTGGGAACTCGAGAGTGGAGATGCCTTGTGGGCCCCTGTTGGAAGACAAATAGCCAAATGATAGCAAGAGGATTTCCTGCTCACAGAATCAGCAGCACTTCCTTGGCTCAGTTGCAGTGAGCTGGCCGCCTCACTGAAGCAGGTGGAGGTAGAGGCACCCCCTCCCTGCTCAGAGCAGCTGTGTTGTGTGTTCTTACAAGGAGAGGGGAGGGAGGTGGAGAGATACCATGTGAGGATGGGATTTATGCTGCCACAAGCCAAGGAAAGCTTGGGGCCACTGAAGCTGGAACAGTCAAGGAAGGAAGGTCCCTGAGAGGCTGCAGGAGCCGGGGCCCTGCTGACACCTTGATTTCTGGACTTTTGGCTTCCAGAATTGAGAGAAAATAAATTTCTGTTGTTTAAAGCCACCCAGTTTGTGGTACTTTGTTATGGCAACCCCAGAAGACCTAACTCAGTCCCCAACTGGGGAGGTGGGCCATGCTCCTGAGTGGCTTCCTGAGTTTACCAGGAGAGCCACTGCTGGCCAGCATCTGTCTCTGTTGTGCAGAGCTTTGCTTTCCCCCCTTAATTTGTTAAGTGGTTTCCTGTTAACCCTTCTTAACCTTTCTATTTGATCACAATGATCAGTTTTAAATCCAGGACGACTTGGTGTTTGAGACCAGAGCCTAGCCAGGCCCTTTGCAGCCTTCAGGGAAATCAGCCGATTAAGAAGGAGCTTTTCTTGGCCTGCCTTCTCTCTTCTGTAATCTCACAATGATCTTCAAGCTTTTCTTCAAAAGTTGTTTTATCTTTAGATTTCTAACTAATTGTGTGAAATCTAAAGATCAGATCCAGGAAAGGCTCTCTAGGCTGGCTGTGCAGCCCCAGTCTTGGCCGCACCAGGGTCTCTCACCCCATCCTGGGCACTCTCTTCAGCCTGGTTCACTGCGGCTCCTCTCCTGTGTCTCTGAGGCCAGCTTGACAGTGAAGGGGGTGTGAGGTGCCCCACGAGGCACTAAGGAGGGCGGGAAGCCTCGGGGGGGCCTGGGGAGCAGCTCTGCAAGGCCTGCACTCAGGAGCGGCTGCTTTGTTTTGCAGTACTTTAACCACATCAGCATTGAGGACTCGCGGGTGTATGAGTTGACCAGCAAGGCCGGACTGTTGTCTCCCTATCAGATCCTCCACGAGTGCCTTAAAAGGTAGGATGGGGGCTTTCTGTCCTAAATCAGGTTGTGGGGACTTCTTTCTGGGTGCCCAACATCCTTACTGTCTGTTTATCCTGGCTCAAGAGGCATTGCTAAAGGCTGAGCTGTCGCAAGTGCTCTCTGCGGGCACAGAAGCCCCCCTGCCTGGCGGTCCCTCAGAGCCCTGTGGGATGGGGTTGGATGTACTTAGAGAATCTTGCCTTCTTCAGTTGAGAAGCACTTTTGGGAAAAGGGTTGGCATTGTCTTCTGAGAGCCCTTAAAGAACTCTCTGGAAGCAGTTATTTCCTCCTCCTCAGCTGTCAACCATTGTCTTTGTTTTCTCTTGAAGAAACCATGGAATGGGTGACACATCCATCAAGTTTGAAGTAGTTCCTGGTAAAAACCAGAAGAGTGAATATGTCATGGCATGCGGCAAGCACACAGTGCGCGGCTGGTGTAAGGACCCCCCCCCCCCCCGTCCATGCGGTCAGATGGCCGCTGAGAGTGTTGCCCTGTTGGCTCCCTTCTGTGTGGTCGCTCTGAGAGCTTCGAGCCCCTGTGGCTTGGTCTGAGGCCACCGCCCTACTGTTGCTCCTGAGCTCCAGCCACGTGCACTAACTGCGTATGCTTGTGTCCACCAGCATCCCACGTCGACCTCTGAAACACAGCTAGCCTGAGGCTTGACGATGGTAGTCCTCTTTCTATGCTGCCTCTCCCCTCCTCCCTCTCCCAGGGTCAGACTGGTCATTGTGTCTAGGCCTTGCGTTCCCCTTCTGCCACCTCGGCCCCCTACCAGCCCTTGGTCCCTGTGGTGGGGGGCATCCTACTCAAACAGTAGTAGGGCCCCTGGCTTGCCACGCTCTGCCTTCCTGTGTTGAGTGTGTGCTGCCCCTCTGCCTTCTGGTCTGTGTGTACTGCCTGTGCTCTTTCCCTAACTTGAGTTTTGAAGTAACTTCTTAAACTTTGTATAACTACTATAACACAAAACCAGTGCTGTGTAAATCAGAGGGTAGTACACAAATTGACTCTGGGGAAACTTCAGGTCCGCACTGAGACCTGGTGTGTCCTGCGCTCCTGCAGACACCAGTCCCACTGAGGAGGGGTCCTGGTGTTGGGCCTGGTAAGGGCCTCCAAGCTGGGGGGCCCTGTGTAGAAGTGTGGCTTGCCTTGGCCTGCTCAGCCAGAGTGCCCACTTAGTACTTGCTTTTCTCCAGACCCGCTCTCCATCCTGGCCCTGCCGTCCCTCTGTTTAGAAACCTCGAAAGCCCATATGGACCCTCCGTAAACAACTCCTGTGGGCCTTCTAGTGCCTGCCTCCAAGGAGCCTCAGGCTTCATGCTTCACAAGGCCTCGTTGCCGCTCTTCATGTGTCTGGAAATGTGGGGTTGTTTGTGTTGAGAGGGAGGACTCTTTTTAAGACCTACCTCGGTCACATCTGTATCTTCTCGAGCCTCTGATGGGCTCTTCTGCAAAGTGGGATAGGGTGGGTCCTGGTCTGGGGTTTGTGAGGTGCTAGTGCTCAGCTTGGTAGAGAGCAGTTCTTCACCCCCTTCCTGTAGAATGTGCCCTCAGCTTGGGGTGGGTGAGGTCAGATGAGCTCCTTTTTAGGCAAGGTGGCTGTGTGGACAGCTGGATGTTCGTGACTCCTTATCTGTGTATCCTTCCTCCCTTCACAGGTAAAAATAAGAGAGTCGGGAAACAGTTAGCCTCTCAGAAAATCCTTCAGCTGCTGCACCCACATGTCAAGAACTGGGGGTCTTTACTGCGAATGTATGGCCGTGAAAGCAGCAAGATGGTCAAACAGGTAACGGGACTTCTCTCCCGACCCTGGAGTCCCACTGTCACTGGGGATGGAGTTGAGCAGCTCTGCTCTTGTTCATGGCTGCCTCTCTTGGGCTCTCTGCTGGGCCATGTCAGTGACTTTGTAGGGCTGGGGGTCTTCCCTGCTCAAGGGGCTTGGGCCTGGCTCTGGCAGTGTGGGAAGGGGACTAGAGCAGTAGGATAGGCAGATGGTGAGTGCTGGCGGCCCGTCCTGAGTCCTTAGTCCAGTAACAGGAGCCCTTGTGCTCATCTGAGGCCACCCAGTGGCTGAGGGAGAGTGAGCACGCAAGCGCAACCCTTGGCAACAAACACAGTCATTGACCTTTAATTCAACAGCCTTTGTGTCATCTCTTTTGCTTATGTTGCTTTTGCCAAGATCTTGAGATTTAAACCAATACCCTTAGGTTTGTGTGCCTTGTTGGGTGGAGGGAAGTACTGGGAGGTGAGTGTTTATTTTTTTTAATTTTCCCTGATGTTTATGGAAATGGTCTGCATTATCAGCACTGTAGTAAGTGGAGGGGTGGTCAGTGTAGAGGGTGGGGACTGCAGGGAGTGACTCAGAGGAACACGCTGTGAACCCTCAGACTATTCCTGAAGATGCTCTTACTCTGGGCATGACAAGGCAGGGTGAGGGAGGTGACACGGGCCCCCAATGTGCTTAGAGGAACCTCAGAATATGTGTTGTTGAAAAAACTTGGATGCAATGCAGATGAAACTTACTGCGCCTTTTGTATATACCTTCCTCCTGTGCATCCTCTGAGGCTAAGACTGAGGGAGAGGAAGCCCACTTTGACTGTCAGGGGGAACCCTGTCTAAGCTGGAGGGCAAGGGGTCCAGCTCAGGCACAGCCCTGAACCATGGGGCTTTTGGAAGGCAGGTGGGTCCTGGCATCCCAGGTACAGCAGTTGTCCAGAGAGATGGAGGGCCTCAGGACATTTTGGTCTTGCACTGAAAGTCTAGGGCATGCAGAGAGCTCAGTGACTGGGGCTGGTGGCCTCCCAGCCTAGGCATTACTTCAGTCAGAGGGCTCTGCGCATAGCGAGGGTCTGGCTGGCGGCTCTGTCCGAAGCCATGTCCATCGTCCTTGTAATCTGGGAAGGAGCAGAGACAGCTGGGTGCCAGGGTGCTTTTGTCTTGTGAAGGGAGGAGGTTATGGCTTTCTGTCCACTGAGGATGGGGCCATGGGGGCAGCGTGGACCGCACAAGGCTCTCCGCATAGGTTGAAGGTAGGGCGGCTGGTGTGGGGTCCCGGGCAGTCCTGAGACGGAGGCACTGTGCTCCCCAGGAGACCTCGGACAAGAGCGTGATTGAGCTGCAGCAGTATGCAAAGAAGAACAAGCCGAATCTGCACATCCTGAGCAAGCTGCAGGAGGAGATGAAGAGGCTGGCCGAGGAGAGGGTGAGCATGGCCGTGGCTCCCTCACCCTCGTCCCCAAGGCAGGGGGAGCATATCAAGCTGTGTCGCACCGTGGCAGCTGGGCGTGGGGGGAAGCCATCCCCTAGGAACCTGTCACTGGCTTCTGAGACCCTGGCAGTGCCCAGGCACCTGAAAAGCCCCAGTCCTTCCACATTAGATTTGCTTGTCCTTGAGTTTCAGCATTCATGATGCTTGTGCTAAAATCACTTTTATGTAGTCAAATTAGAGAACTGGCAGCCCTGACCTGTGGTTGTGCAGGGCCAAGCTTCTTGAGTGCTGGACTCTGGGTCTCCACATGGTGCTTGGCTGTTTGAGGACAAGGACAGTGCACTGGCCAGTCACCGTGCCCCTCCTACCCCCAACTCAGGTTGTGGGTGACAGACTGCCATCATGGATCTCTTCCTCTTGGAGTCCTCAGCAGTTCTGAGGGCGGAGTATGGGTCACGGAACAGTTAAACCCGGGTAGGGCTCAGTGTCTGTGCTGCTTCCTAAAGCCACCCACTCAGGGGGCCTCTGGGCTCTGACCTGTGCAGCTGTGGTATCAGCCTGAGTCTGAATAAACCCTGAAGGAGGCATCTGTTGTCTTTGTGGCCTTTTGGGTACAGGAGATGCCTCACTCCTGCCCTCAGTGGGGGGTCAGGAAAGAAACCCACCCAGGTGGTTTATCCCTGGTGGCTGTGACCTCCTTGGCCCTTCACTTTTTAGTGTGTGTCCTTATTCCCAGGGAGTCATGTGGTACTCTGCTGTCCAGGGTGACTCGCACCCAGCCCCCTGCGTGGCCCACTTCCCTCCTTCCAGCCTGAAATGGCAGAGCATGGGTGCCTTCCTGCTCCAGAGGCTGCCTGGCAGAAGTCTGCTGGGCTCCCCCCACCCACCCACCTGTTTCCCTCTGGAGCTTCTTTCATGAAGTTCAACTGCAGCATGTTCTCACCTCACTGGCATCCCTGACCTTTGTTGCTTTTCTAGGAGGAGACGCGGAAGAAGCCCAAGATGTCTATTGTGGCATCTGCCCAGCCTGGTGGCGAACCCCTGTGCACCGTGGACGTGTGAGGACATGGCAGACTGGGCGTGGGGGCTGCCAGCTCTGCTGCCAGGGAGACCATGCACCACTCACTCTGCAGCCTCTTGCCGCCAATCTAAGTTCCTCTCCTACAGTCACATGTCTGAGGGGTGGAGCTCCAGTGCGTGGGGACAGCCAGGGCCACGTACTGTACCATACCGTACCGTACCGTACCATTTCCTGGGGGGCCACCCACAGGTCTGACTGGACATGTTAGCACATCAACCCAGCCTGCCTGCACAGGTGGAAGCCGAGCTTGGAGATGACCTCTGCTTGTGTGGACTTGCTGGAGCCTGGTTTTATGAAGGTTTTCATGAGTTTTAGTACATAACCTGCACTGACAAGAAATAGTAGTTGATGACAAGATGAAATGAGAAAGCGATGGTCAAGGCATATGACGCCCTGTGCCCAGGACTCCCCTGGGCCACTGCAGGGACCTGGTGAGAGGGCTCATGCTGGCACCCCTGCCCCTTTCCTGTCTCCTGTGTTTTCACTTTTTGTCTGAAGATGTAACAGGTATGACCATTTCGGGCCTTTTTGGTTGAAAATAAACACAACTTTAGCATCAGAACTATTTTTCAGAGATTTCAGGAAAATCATCAAGGTGTTTTATCCAGCTAGTGTGAGTCTCAGCCTGGCTTTTTGCCCAAGCCCTGAGCTGGGGTGTGGTCCATTTTTCTGTTTTTAATTTTTATTTCATTGATTTTAGAGAGAGAGAAACATGGATTTGTTGTTCCAGTTATTTATGCGTTCATTGATTGGTCCCTGTATGTACCCTGACTGGGGATCAGACCCGCAACCTTGGTGTATTGGGATGACGCTCTAACTGAGCTACCTGGCCAGGGCCGCCTGCGTAAGTCTTAATGCCCTAAAAACACACCTTCTTAGACATCAAGGCCCCCTATCTTTGCTGGCCTCTGGCAACTTTTTACTAAAGATTTTTGCACAGCCGAGTCCCTCTGTCCACCCTTAATTTTTAAAGCTTTTATGATATTTTAGCATTTGGAAAGAAACTTTTACAGTGTGTAGAAGATAGATTTGGAATTATGTAGCAGATATGAACAATTAATGCATTTTAGCACGTGGGTTTATTTAAGAGGAAACAAGGACCTTTAGTGCAATCCATTCTTGATCACGAAATGGCACTCCTTTCCAGATTTGGTGCAAGCACATGGACGGTGGCTTCACTGGATTTCAGAGGCAGCTGCCTTGTGCAGCCAGGCCTGGTGACCAGCTTACTCCTGACCAGCAGCCTGTGCTCTCCAGGTGGCCCCTGTGGACAGGTGCAGGGATAGATGTGACCCTGCCCTGAGTCCCAGGGGATGTGGGTGTGCTTGGTGCCCTGGGTTGTCCCCATATGCAAGGTAGTGGTGGTTAGCCATCCGTTTCCTGTTCCCAAGCACCTATTCAGGGTGCCACATGCTCATGGTGCACTGCCAGATACAGGAACCCAGCACTGGGTTGCATTGTTCATGTTCTTGGGGTGTGCCTGTTCACCACATCCCCTGTGGATGGTGTTTGCTTCCAGGAAGACAATGTTGGCCTTGTGGGCCACCCAGTGTATCCCTCCCTCAGCGCCTGTGTGACCAAGGTTGGCTTCTGTGTTGACCTTTATAAAACAGAATCCTCAATCAAGTTGCTGTAATTATACACTTGCTTCTGTCTTGCCTCCTGTCTGCAGCTGTGAATCATTTGACCGTGACTGTTTGCCCTTAAAACAGGCAGATGCACCATTGTGAACCAAAGCTTTGTGCACGTGTTACTAGAAGTGGGTGAGCCTCACTGTGGCCTTCCCAAGTCTTTCCTCTGTCCTATGTGTGGGTGTGAGTGTTGTGTGCACACAGCTGTGCTGTTGGGGTGGAGGGCAAGGAGAGCCTCTGCTAATGCCACCTCTGTGTCATGTACCTCCCAGGTGGCAGCTGGGCCATTGCTGTAACAGTGAGCCTTGATTGTCTGGACATATAAAACAAAACTGACCAAAAGGTTCTGACTGAGTTTTTTTGTCTTAACTATGGGAGACTGGGGGCCTGGTGGACCCTCAGTTTGCCAGACCCTCTGTAACAATCCTCAGTGGGCTAGGGTGTTTGCCTGGACTCAACTGAGAAGCATCCCAGCCCAGCTCTTGGTCACTACGGAGGTGGCTTCCCTTCAGGGCTCCGGGCTTGTTGGGGATAGAACAAGGTTGTGGGTCTTCCTTCCTTTGGTGCAGGCAAAATGGGCTGGGCAGGCAGGCCACCCCGTTGCCCTGCGCTCTGTCTCACATACACACTTGGCCATTGGCCGTAAAGTCTGAATCTGACTTTTCTTGGGGTTAAGCATAAAACGAGCTCTGCTTTAACTTCCACTGTTCAAAAGGGCCTGGGAGAACCACTCCAACATCCAGCTCCAGCTGGGTCACCTCTTGGCTATTCCCAGGGCTGAGTCACATGCTTACCCTCCAGGGTCCCTCCTGGTTCTGCCCCACTGCACCTACAGTGAGGGGCAGAGGGACCTGTGTCTCAAAGCTCTGGGTTCTTAATCACAGAAACAGTAGTAGTTCAGCAGTTGTTTATTCAGGCCATTGCAGTCTAAATGGTCCAAAAAGAATAGATTTGTGTTCACATAATGTGCCTGCAGGGTGCAGGAACCTACAGCCCAGAGACGGGAATGTCCTAGGCAGGACAACTGGGTCTTATGCCCTGTTGGTTACGGCCCTGGGCATGTTGGGGTGAGGCAAGAACTTGAGCTGCTTGGCTTCTGCCCATGATGCAGACTGGACCCTCTTCTGGAAGGGCTGGCTTCTACTGCTCCAGAGCCTAGGAAGGAGGGGGGGTGCCCAGCTTCCTGCTGCATATCACCAAGGGGCCCTGGTGAGTGCTGGGCTGGAGGGTCCTGGGGCTCCAGAGTCTCTGTGCCATTGGGGTGCTCCACCCTCTCGAACAAGATGAGCATCTCGCAGTGTGGGGTTTGCGGGAACAGGTCCACGGCCACAGCCTTGATTGGTCGGAAAGGGGTGCCCTTTACCCGGTTAGATGGGGCTCTGCAGAGGCTATGGCGGGAAGAGAGCAGTCAAGGTCAGTCGGGTGGCTGGGGCTCCTCTAGGGGTTATGAGGCTGGGTGCTGGCCTCATGCCACCCCAGACCACACCTAACACTCACTCTACAAAGTTGCCCATGGCCGCCCGGGGGTTGCAGGAGACATACAGGAGACGCTTGAGATTCTCAGCTCTGCGGATGGCCAGGATCACTTTGGAATCTGAGGAGGCAGACTTCTCAGGAGAGCGTCCCCACCTCAAAGAGGAGATGGAGGCCCCGTGGGTATGGACATCAAGCCTGAGGCTGCACAGCCTGGTGCACCACCTGGATGTCAGCGCCCTCTTCCTCCCTGTACTACCCCCAGGCGGAGGCTACTCACGCAGGCCGGCACGGGGTGGGTCCAGGATGGCAGTGAGCTGCTGGGAGGCCAGTTTGCTCACCAGCGCAGGCACCAGGTCCTCGGCCCTCCCGCAGTGGAAGTCGACGTTGCTCAACTCTGTAGGAGGCACAGCAACCCCGGTGGGACCTGGACGCCCCACAGGGCCTGCTCACCTGCCTGGTATCCTGAGATCCCTGACCGGAGGTGCCTTAGGAAAACTCACTGGCCAGGCAGCTTGCTCACCCTCCCCACCAGGGAGTCCCAGGCACACTGGGTGCACACTAGGGGAACCTGTCCCGTCTACACACTTCCCATCCCCCTTATCGCCTGAGAAGTCTGTGGTGGGTTCCAGGTGCTGTCCTGAGGTGCAAAGCAGGGGTGACTGCCTGCTGTGTGGCGCCCTGGCTCTCACCATTGTTGTGGGCGTTCACCCGGGCATCCTCCACAGCCTCCTGGCACAGCTCAATCCCCACAACTCTCTTCACTTTCTGAATTAAGGAAAGGGCACAGGCTGATGGTGCTCCGCACCACCCCAGGAGCTTCTTGGGGAGGAGAGTAGCAGGAGGCCTTGTGGGGGAGTAAAAGAGGATATGGGACAGACGGGGGGGTTGGCCACAAAGTGGGGGTAACACAAGGGTGGGGTAGGGAGAGGGCATCCTCCGCTGGGGCAGGAGGGCTTACCCGGGCCAGGGCCAGGCCGATGGTGCCGGTGCCACAGCACACATCCAGCACTGTGCTCTCTGAGTCCAGCTGGGCCCAGTCTTGGATGACTGTGTAGAGCACCTCAGCAGCTGGGCTGTTCACCTGGAGGGTGGGCAGCACCATCCGGGATGCCAAAGCAGCCCCACCACCCTAGCCTTCCCTCCTGTAGCCCCAGCCAAGTACCTGCACTCCCTGGGGCATGCCCTCTGCTCCGAGACGGCTGGCCTAGTCCCACACTCACTCACCCTCTTTCTAGGGCTCCTGGTCCCATCCCTTCCCCTCCTCTAACAGCCTGAGCACCCCAGGGCTAGTCCTGCCATTGCCTCTCCATCCACAAGATGCTGGGCAACCTCACCCAGGGCCCTGGCTGTAGAAGCGCCTTGATGCTGACCCTGCTTCCTCCCAACTCATGGACTTCTAATGGATGTGCGGGATCACCCTCCACCCCCCCACCCGGCAGCGTCAGGCATGGAAGACTTCACCAGAGCTCACGCCAGAGCCTTAGTGCCACCGCAACTCCCATTTCCCACATATGGCTCTCCAACAGTGTTGTCACAAAGGTCTAGTCAGTCTAGACAGCTTCCTTCCTACCCTACTGCCCTTGCAGCTCCCCTGCCTGAATGTTCTCCCCCAGACCTCTGCGTGATAACAACTTGTCACCACCCTAGCCCACTGTCCCAGTTATGTCCTGGTATCACATCAGGCCTCCTTCCTTGTGTCTTTATGACCCCCAGGGAACTCTGGGCTACCTGGAAGAAGGCATGAGGGGAGATCTGGAAGGTTAACCCCAGCAGGTCTTCATGGATGTACCGGTCCCCAGCCACATGCTCCAGGGGCAGGCCCTCTTGGCTGGGAGTCTTTCTGTGGGTGGTGGGGCCCGTCAGTATTATCGGCCCTTGAAAGGACCCACCCCATCCTCCCACCCAAGCTCCTTACCGCTGTCCTTCCTCCACGAAGTAGAGGCAGGTCACCCCACTGGCTTTGCCTGGCCCCACAAGGAAGTACTGTGCCAAAGAGGCCTTCAGCCCTACCAGCTCTTCGGGGCTCAGTTTCTGGAGGAAGCAGTAGAAAAAGCCCTGTAAGGCTGTGTTGCATGCAGCCCACTCTGGCCAGGACACCCTCCTAAACTGAGACCTGAGGATGGAAGTAGGCAATGGCCATGGCTTGGCCACGGCGGCTGGTGCGCACGGTCAGCTGCTTCCAGTGGCCCGAATACGTCTCTGGGTCATATGCCGAGTAAGGAGTAGACCTGTGGGAGCCATGAGCAGTCCTGAGTCCCCAGCATCTGCTGACCAGAACTAGGTGACCAGCCTCCCTACTTTCTCCCTCAGCCACACCCACCAGGCCATAATCGTAGGGCCCTTCCCTCCCCCACCACTGGCAGGACGCAGGCTCTCTGCCACCAGGTCATCTCACAATATCCCAGAGCCCAGAGCCCTTGGCCCGGCCACAAATCCTCACCGGATAAATTCCTGGAAGGCCTTCACCACCTGCTTGGTGGCCTCAGGGATGTGCACGGTGTCAAAGGGGGCCGCAACAGCACATGTCCCGCCCTTGTACTTTCCTAGCCGGCAGCCGACAGTGTTGTCCTTCCCGTCCACCCCGACTCCCACCAGAAACTCACACTTGTTACGATACTCGGTCTGCAGGGTGGGCAGAAGGAGGCAGAGAGACACAGCTGGGCTTACCCTGCATTCCACTACTTGTGCGTGGAGGGAACCATAGTGAGTGAGTGGGATATGGCAATGTGTGAGATGCCCCAGATCCTCCACAGAACGTGGCAATCCTGGGGACAAGGCTGACAACAACTAGCAGTCTTGGGACCAATATGAGTAGTAAATGCAAAGCAGGAAGAAGGATGAGTGACGACAGCTTCTTTAAGAGCATGGGGTAAAGGTTTGCGGGCCTGACCTGCTGGGGCGACGGCCTGATCCCCTCCAGCGGGCAGCAGGCTTTGTTGTGCTTGTGCCTCTGCGAGAGCAGCCAGGGCAGCAGGGCACGGTTGGTTTTCCCAATTTCCCTACAGAGTGAGGTGGGACCAGGGTTAGACTCAGCCCACTGCCCCCAACCCATCTCCAGCTATTCTCCAAATGCCCAGGTGCCTGGGCCTTTCCCCTGGGCCTCATTATCCCTACTGATAACACAAGTCTTACTGTCTAGCTCCCCAAGAGCCTGTGCAGAAGCCAAACCTGTCTGTACAGAGCACAGGTGGGACTGAGCAAGCATGGAGCTGAACAGAGTTCGGTGTCAAGGGGTTGACTGGGTCCACACTCACTTGGCGAGCTTCTGCAGCACCTGTTCACACTCCAGCCGCTTACGATCAAGTTGCTCAGCATAGGGCACAGTCCAAAGAGGAGTCACTACATCGGCCACGCATGTGGCTGGCGTCTCACCCTCATCCTCACGCTGTCTCTTCCTGGCCATGGGATCAGCCTTGGGCTTGGCCAGGCGCACACTGAGAGGGCGGCCCTTCCAGAGGGCACCATGCAGCACACGCAAGGCCTTGTCCCGCTCAGCGGCACTGCGGAATGTCACAAAGGCGCATGGAGGTTGGCCAAAGAGTTTGGTCTTATGGGGCTGTAGGCCAAAGCGGCCCAGAAAGCGCCGGACATCACTGAAGCTGGCGTGGCGTGGCACGTTCTGTAGCTCCAACTTGAAGATCTCCGAAGTGAACAAGTCGTCCCTGATGTAGCTGTAGAGCCCAGGCTGAGGCCCTGACTCTGTAGCTGCCCCACCTCCCTGTTCCTCCTCCTCGTGAGGGGCTGGGGCTACAGAGATGCCCAGGGCACTGCTGCTGTCCTGGCCGCAGCCCTCCATTGCCCCCAGGCCCTGTGTGAAGACAGGTAAGGGCTGGGATGAAGGTTGGACTCAGCGCCCGGGCTTTCCCGCTCCACATCCAAACTTTCTAGTGCAATCCACAAGCAGCCCCACGCCTTTCTATCCTCAGCCTGAACTCTCTTCCTCGCCTATCTCACCCCCCATCCCCAGGGGTTTCCCACCGCGTCCCCATCTTCGTCCCCTTCCATGAAGTCTGCCATCTCCGGCCCGCGCCTCTCGCCAGGATCTCCCTTCACTTTACCTCGTCGTCAAGCTTGTCATTCATCGTCCATTAAGTCCGCTGCCTTGACTGAGACCCCCACGAGCCCCTGGGCCGGGCGCAGGGGAGGGTCTCAAAGCGCGGGCTTGGCGCCGAGGCCGCCCCCCGGCTCCGAACCGGGGGCGGGACTCGAACCCTCAATGCTCAGGTCCCGGTCTCCGGCGTGGGGTGCACCGCCCGCCAGCCAAGGCCCCGCGCCAAACAGTCGTCTCGCCGGTCGCTGTCCCGACAGTCAGCGCGTGCAGACCAGGCGGTGCACCTCTACCATTTTGGCCTACAATTACGTCATCGCTGCGCGCCGGCTCCGACGCTGGCGTCTGGCTCCCGCTGTCGCGAGCACGAGGACCGCGCGGGGCCGTGGGGCGGAAGTGCGCGCGAGGGCCGCCGGGAGCGCACGCTCCCCGGGCTGCCGGGAGGGCCGGGCATGCGCCGCGGGCGTTTTGGCGGGAAGCGCGGGGCGGGCCGGACAATGAGTGTGTCCGTTGCCTGAGCCAATAAAGCTGCACTGGTTTTGAATCGCGGCGCGTTTCCCGCCGCTGGGGTCAGAGGTCAGGGTTCGGGTCGCGGGGCGGAGGGAAGAGCGGGCGGGCGGGAGGCGCTGGCGCCAGACGCGGAGCGAAGGAGCTACGAGTAGCCGCCGAGAGGCCCCGGAGCCAGCGACGACCAAGCCAGCCGAGCCGCCGCCGCCGCGCCGCCATGGCGGCCGCCAAGGTGCGGCTGGGCCCAGGCGGGTACTGGGCGGGGGCTGGGGGCCCGAGGCGGCTATCGGCGGCCACGTGGGCGGCCCGCGCAGTCGCCGCCAACCCCCGCTGGCCTGCGGTCTCGGCGCTTGTGGGTCTCTGTGGTGCGTCTCGGTGGCGCGGGGTCGGGCTGTGCGGACTGCGGCCTGGGGGCTGGAGACCTTTGGGGCTGAGACACGCGGGACCTAGGGGCTCGGGCCTGGGGGCTGCGGGGCGCCCGCGCGACCTTGGGGCGGCCCGACTGCCCAAGCTTCTTGGTCCCGTGTTCACTTCACTGCACGCTTAGGACGCAGGGCTGGCGGCTGATTTCCTCCGGCTCGGCCCACTTGCGGGCTTCCCACCAAGACCTCGCATCCCTCCCTCCCGTCGTCTACGCAGCACTTCATTCATTCTGTCCTGGTCTCGAACCGCCACAGGCCTCTGCGGCGGAAGCTCTCGCGTTCCAGTGGGGTCCTGGACGCGCCAACCCAGGGTGGGGGCGGCTTTGTTGGCAGCGGGTGTCTGCTCTGCTGAGCTGGCCGCGGCGGAGCCGCAGTGCTGTGCAAGGAAGGAAAGCAGCGAAGGCTTATCTTTTCTTTTTCGGCTTGAGTCTGGTAAAGAAGTGTCCAGATTTCTTACTGTTTTGTAGATTACTAAGCCACGTGTACTATACGACTTGAACCTAAAATAAGATCCTTTGTGCTCTATAATTCTCTACATTGGATCAGAATTTTGTGGCTCTTATTTGTATGATTCTTTTGGACTTAATTTCCTAACGAAGATAAAGTTGCTGACAGAACTGTGATTTCCTTATAAAAGCTGGCATTCGCAACTTTCTCTCCTAGTAAGGAAATGCACACATTTTTCTCAAGCAGTAAAAACTCAAAGGGTTGCTTTTTGCTTTTAAGCGCAACATTGTCCTCTTCAATCCATTGTGTCTATTATAGTCTAAACTTGGCAGTATCCTTATCCACGTTTTACAGATGAGGACCCCTAGGCTCAAAGAAATGGGGCAGTTTCTCCCCAGCCACTGGGTTAATAGGTGGGTGCGTTTTAGGAGCCCCAGTGAGATGTGCTGGATGCATCTGGGAGAGGGTGCTGAAGCCCAGTGTATCTCGCTGAGCTGGGCAGACACGCAGAACTTTCCTAGCACACCCCAAAGCAAGAGATTAAGGCTGTGGCCATTGGGGTGAGGCTCTTCACTGGTAAGGATGCCCACTGTGGGAACTGGCGAGCCGGCCAGGCCCACTGCCATCGTTCAACTCTGTGCCCCTCCCTCCATAGGACAACCATGAGGACCACGACACCTCCACTGAGAATGCAGATGAGTCCAACCATGACCCCCAGTTTGAGCCTATAGTTTCTCTTCCTGAGCAAGAAATTAAAACGCTGGAAGAAGATGAAGAGGAGCTTTTCAAAATGTAAGCTAATCTTGAATCAGAAATAGAATGTCTAGTTTAAGGCGGAAACTGGTTTTTATGGGTGCTAAAGCCTTGGCCTGACCTTTAATTGGGCTGCGGCTGAAGAAAGGGCCTGGAATTGTGTGATGACTAATTCCATGTGGAAATCAAGGCTCCTATTAGAACCCACTCATTAGGTAACTTACTACCGGGTGCCCCTGCCGCCCCGTGGCCAGTGCCGTGGAGGACACGGGCACTCCTTGGTATCCTGTCACGGCTCCTCTTCTACAAAGGCGCACCTCCCCAAGCCCCGCCGATTCCCACGGCCCCTCTCTTTCTGGTTGAGCGGGAGTTTACCATTATTACTATCTTTCATCTTTTATTACTATCTTTTTTTCCCTGCCATAGGTTTTGGCAGTCTGAAGCTTGTGAATCCCTGATCATTGTTTTTAGTGCACAAAGCAGTGCATGGTGTTACAAAGAAAAGTGGGTGGTGGTATACTGAGATTACTTTTTAAAAATTATTCTAAATGTGCTTCTTGGTGCCTTCAGGGAGAAGCTATAGGGCCGGTTGTTTTTGTTTTTGTTTTTTAAATTGTTTGGGGGGGGCAGTGTTTTGAAGCAGTGCCTACTTCAGCAATGTGTTGCTGAGATGTCTGTGACAAGGTGTGGCCTGTGGACTGTTGCCTGTTGACTAAGCTCAGAATTGTAGGAAATGCTACACATTCATAGGAATAGGTTGTAGTGTTGCCCTGTCCAAGCTTGTGGAACTCTCTGCCCCCCTCCAACCTATCCGGGATACCGGGTTATCGTTAAAGTGCTTTGCTTCAGATGGGGGCAGGGGAGCAGAAGCAATCACCAACACTGGGACCCTCCCTCTAAGGAAGGGAGCCTGGGGAGACCACTTACCCACAACTCCCAAGGGCCTAGAAAGGAGAAATGCATGTTCCCCTTTGGTTTCAGAAGGTGGTGGGCATCTTCCTGAAGACACTTGTTCTCCAGGTCTCTGCTTGGCCAAGAAATGATGCTGTAGCCAGGGGTTGGCTCCTCCCAAGAGTGAGGATGGCTGGTGGTGCTGCTACTGTCACCTCCTTGTCCCTGCGGCCGGGGGTATGGGGCAGCGGGGCAGGGTACTCCTGGAGTCCTTGTCACAGGCTTTTCCTGAGGGAAGTGAGGCCAGCTAGCCAGGCCTTTGTATCTGGGCCCTTAGGGCTCTAGGTCAAAGTCCTGGAGATGTCCGTGTGAGAACATGCTGCCTGTGTCCCTATGGGCACCGGAAGCCCCTGCACAGTGTTCGCAGACACGCCCAGCAGACTCAGGTGAGCTACTTTGCTGAGGGGTCAGGTTTTTCTGTTAGAAAAACGTTGCGCTGTAGAAATCTTTTTGTTCTTTTTGTCAAGGTAAAACTTCGAATTTGTTTGTTTGTTTTGCTCTTTTGGTGACATTTTGGCTTGTAGTTTTTAGAATACAAAGATACGGTCATTTGTTTAACGCCCAGAAAATAAGTTGTTGTTTTTTTTTTCCAAACAAGTGTTTGATTTATCTGTTACCTTTTTTGTGTATCTAAGTTTTTAATTAATGGCTTTATTTGAAGGCGGGCAAAGCTGTTCCGATTTGCCTCAGAGAACGATCTCCCAGAATGGAAAGAACGAGGCACCGGTGACGTCAAGCTCCTAAAGCATAAGGAAAAAGGGACCATTCGTCTCCTCATGAGGAGGGACAAGACCTTGAAGATATGCGCCAACCACTATAGTAGGTGACCTCCCGGGTGTGTGTGTGTGCATCCTGAGTCCCCACATTCTGCACTGGGACAGTTTCAGACCTTGGGCAGCCTGCTTTCAGGGCTGCACTGGGAACCCAGGAGTGTACTGGTACCTGCAGTGCATGCTTACGGTGTGTTTTTTTAATTTAAAATAGGAAATGAGGTTTTCCCACGTGCCTCAGAACTCAGAGCAGACCTGCAGAGAAGCTTACAGCGCACAGGGGTGTGGAGTCTGGGCAGGCGGGACCAAGGGGGATGGATGCAGAGCCCCAGTGTGGGCTCGGAACCAGGCTCCGCCTGAGGGCGTGTGAGTGCGTTTGTGTGTGCTCGTGTGCATCTGTGTGTGGGGTGCCTGGGTGTCAGTCTTCCCACCCTTTGGTGTGTCCTGTCCCCATGTAGTGTCCCCTGAGGGGGACTTGGGGTTGGAATGGGGTGGGGAGAAGGTGGCTGCCTCTTACTTAGGCGCCCATGAAGCTGCGCAGAAATGGGTGGGGCTGGTGGAGGCCCTTGGGCTTGTGTGATTCATTAGCCCTGGGCTCAGTGAGGTGTGGGTGTCTTAGGATTGGCCATGTGAGGCCTGGCCTGTGAGGAGGTGACAGTAGGCTCTGGGCCACATCAGTCTTTTGGCAGCTGGCCTGTCATGCAGCGCTTTGAGTATGTGTGTTTTCGGAAGCCACTGGGTCCTGGGTTTTGTTCCTGATCCCGGGCCGTGCTGCATTTCTGGTGTAATGTGTGTCTGACAGGGCAGGGCCTTTTGTCTGTGCCCATGGGGTGACCGCTGGCAGGAACCAGAGTAGAATGGACCTCAAGGGTGATGCACAAGGATGGATGGGCTTGCAGAGGCCCTGAGGGCGGGAGGGTCTTTGTATCACAGTTGCTTCTGCCCCACGCAGCCTCTGCACCAGTCTCCCTGTCCCAGCCTCTCTGCTCTGCCCTGGTCCTTGCCCACCAGCCCAATTTGAATTGCTTCCTCAGGGGTCTTCCTGACCTCTAATTTTTTTTTTTTTTTTTTTTTTAAGTCTTTTCAGGTTGCTGGGTCACTTGCATGTGAGTTGCAGGTGGGTCCTGGGCTGGGTGCACACCATGGGCCCTTGATGGACTGGGCGTTTGGTGGTGGGAGAAGGCTGTGCATACCCTGCACAGCACACAGGCTTGCTGGACATCTGAGCAGGGGTTGGGTGATGATGATGATGATGATGATGATGATGATGATGATGTGTTGCTCAGTGGCAGAGGTCTCCATATGCCCAGAGACCTCTGCCACTGGTGTACTGCTGGGCATGGCACTGGGGGTGCTTCTGTTCTTTGGGGAGCTGGTCTCCCTTGTTCCCTTCCCCTTGGGTTTGCATAGAGCCTGAGGAGATGGAGTAGGTTTGCTTACAGGCCGTGGCTGTGCTTTCCGTGGCATGTGACCATGTTACAAGGATCTTGGTGCCCACTTCTGGTAGCCTTGTGCCTCCCTGTTGGTCTCCCTGGATAGTGTAAGGCTAAGATTAGATTTCTTAGCTTGATTGTCCACCTTTCTGGGTGATCACCCTTCTTCCCAGAGTTTGGTTCTCTGCTGACTCCCACCTCCCAATGGGCCAGGTCCCCGATGATGTGGCTGGGTGTGGCCACAGCCATGTGATGGATGCCCTTCACAGGAAGGTCTGGATCTGCTTGGCATTGTGCCCACATCTGTCCCAGGTCTGGGGCCTGTAGTGGGGGCTGGGTGTGATCAGCTGTATTGGCTTTGGAGCCCTTGTCTGCATTGGGATTAGAGATCTTTACTAAGTTGTCCTCATGGTCAGGGAGCAGGCTACCCTGTTCCCAGAGTTAGGATTGTCCTGGTTTTAAGAGACAAAGAGGTTTAGGTAAATTCCAGATTGTCCCAAATCATCCTTGTTTTGACCAAAGTGGGACCTTGGGTTGGCGGCCAGGACCGCAGCCATGGTGGGTGGCCAGGGGTAGTAAGCTGGCTCTGTAGCAGCGGGCACTGTCCTCATGGGGCTTCTCCTGCAGTTACGCCAATGATGGAGCTGAAGCCAAATGCAGGCAGTGACCGTGCCTGGGTCTGGAACACCCACGCCGACTTTGCCGACGAGCGCCCCAAGCCGGAGCTGCTGGCCATCCGCTTCCTCAATGCTGAAAGTAAGCGGAATGGTGGGTGGGCGGGCCCATGGACTGGCCTGACTGCTGCCACCTATTTTACATTGTAGCAGTTTCATTGCAAACAAATGCTAATGCTTTTTGGGGAGAATCGTTGGTAATTGGGAAGATGTGGTAGGGACTTTCTGCCCTGCTGTCTGGTGGCCCCTCAAGGAAGGGATCTAAGTGCAACCAAGCTGCGCGCCCTCAAAGCCACTCTGAGACTGAGTCCGTGAGCAGTGGTTTCCCCCTTAACCTCAGAGGAGGCTGTGCCAGCTCGTTTCTCCTCATCATCACTTGGGTGCCAGCAGGAGCTATGCTAAGATCCACAGGCCCCGGCTGACCTTTCCCCTGCTTGGGTGTCTTTCCAGCCCAGATTGTCAAAAGCTGTGCCCAGTGGGCCCTGGAGAAATTGGTTGGGTGCTGGGGTCCAGCGGCCTAGTAGCTCACCATGTGATGTTGAGTGGACCTCACTTCTGCTCTAGGAACGGGGCGTGTCCAGCGGCTACTTTCAACATGAGTGGAGATCAGAGTACCTGACGAGGAGGGCCCAGGCCCTTGGTTGCATGAAGCCACCACACTGTGCTGCTGTGCCCAAATTGTTACAGAGTCAGATGGAAGGAGACGGCCCAGCATAGCCACTAGCCTCTGCAGGGATCCAGGAAACAGTCACCGCACGGTCTAGGCAAAAGTGGGCCCAGGGCCACGTTAGATGGCCCAGCTTGTCCTTAGGTCAGAATGGCCATGAGATGGGCCCTTTATGAGTCCTAGCTCTTCAGACTCATTGGCCTTGTCCCCTTCACTAAGGTTCTGAGGAAGTCTCTCTTCCTTCCACAGATGCACAGAAATTCAAGACAAAGTTTGAAGAATGCAGGAAAGAGATTGAAGAAAGAGAAAAGAAAGGTAATGTGGTATTGATGGACAGGGACCTCCTTGCAGACTCACTCTGCACCCGGCTGCAGTCCCAGCCGGATGCTTTTTTCGTCTGCCACAGAAACATTCCAGGGTACTGTGACTCCCTTGACCTGTCAAGGGTGACGCAGCTGCCCTGGGACACGATCCTTTCTGGGGAGTGAGCTGGCCATCCAAGCCTCGAGAGTGTGCTCACTGGTCCGGCCTTGTGGCACTTGGGCAGGTGGTCAAGTCACAGTGTCTGACGGGAGTCCTGCAGACGCTGAATGGGCTTCGAGAGGTCCTCATGGTCACCTGCTTATTCAGGGCCTGACAGTGGCTGCCATAGCAAGCGACCAGACATAACTGAGTGGACGCACCGAGGTCCTGGGCACACGTGTGTGTGTGTGTGTAGGTGGCTCCAGTGGCATACAGTAGAGCAGCAGCCAGGTGCATCTGTCTGCTGCACGGGCTGCGGGGAACGGCGCTTCTCTGCTTTCTTACTGTGGTCCCCTGTATTTTAGGAGGATCAGGCAAAAACGACAATGCTGAGAAGGTGACTGAAAAGCTAGAAGCTCTTTCAGTGAAGGAGGAGAGCAAGGAGTCTGAAGATGAGGAGACCAAGGAAAAAGCCGAGGAGAAGCAATGAGTCTGAGTCCTCTGCCCTTGCTTTCTGTTCCTTCCTTCTTTTCCTTTTTTAAAACAATTTGCCCTGCCCCTTTTCGGTTTGTTTTTATTCTGTTTTGTTTTTACAAGGGACTTTATATAAAGAACTGAATTCTAGCATTCAGGTGTTTTTTTTCTAAGTTTTTGCCCTCTTGAAGATGACTTCAGAAAATCCATTCCCCAGTCATGAAAATGTACTGTGCTAACTTTCTTTTCCATAGTGGAAACACTTATTTATAGTCATCAAAAATAGTGAATAAACAACACATTGGAAACCTTCATGGAGGGCAGGACCATGTGTGCGCCGGCCCTGTCCTGGCAGCAGTGTGGGTTCCTGCTGGCCCCGGGGTGTTGGGGTGGCACTCTGGGTCTGACCCCGCTTGTCATACTTGTTTTGGACTTTGGGCGGCTGCGGGGCTGTTGGCCAGCCGGGACTAGTGGGGCAGGTGGGCTGGGGGAGATCGGTGCTGGGGGCTCTGTCTCCTGAGGGCCTTAGGTGCCTTTGCCCTGTGGTGAGGAGTGGGTAGAACCTTTTTTTTTTCTTTTTCTTTTTTCTTTTTCTCTTTTTTTTTTTGCCTTTGGGGAAGAGAAAGGAAGACCACCAAATTCCTTGGCTTTGGTACAAGGAGGCCAAGCAGACTCCAGCCAGGCTTTGGCCCAGGCCATCTTCGGTCAGCCCTCGGCCAGGGAGGACCAGTCCTGCAGCACACGCATCCAGGCGGTCGCAGTACAGATGCAGGGCTTGGCCCTGCCGCTGCCCTCAGAGAAAACCAATCCTTCACCCGCTTTCTCCCAGCGTCTCCATCTGGGTGGAATCGTGGCTATCTGCAATAGCTTTAAATAAACGATGCTTTTAAGAATGCAAATGGGTTAGTGCTATTTGGGGGTTTGTCTTGTAGACAGGGTGACTCTGTAGACATCCCATGTAGGAGAGAAGGGTTCTTGAAAGCACATGGCTCACCTGTGATGGTGTGTTCCTGGGGAGATAACCTCTGAGGAGCTGTGTGTGGTCTGCCCACTTCCCGGCAGGGCAGGAGCAAATTTGGGCTGGCCTGGAGTGGATACACTTATGCCTCCTGTGGCTGTTTGCCATTAACACCTATCGAGGTGCTGTACAGTATGGCTAAGTCTACCAGCTGGGCCCTGTGTGTCCTGTGGTTTGTCCAGTTTAAACTTTGTGTCCTTGGTCAATTGGGGGATTGCACCTCCAAAGGAAGCCACTCTGGTTCTAAAACTGAAGACTTCCCTCGCCAGTGGGCATGTCCTGGCAGCCTCAGGCCCCAGGGCACAGGTCAATGTTGGTGCAATGGTTTTCCCCTCCCAAGGAGGGGCATCGAAGCTTGCACACCTCACCTCTCTTGAACTGGACTTGTGATGCTGTGAAGGACAGATGTCTCTTCCTTGTGAGGCCTCTGACAGGTGCACTATGTGAAAGGTCCCAGGGGCTTGATCTTCAAGGGGAAGGGTGGTTAGACACCCCTTTTAGCATAGAACAGATGTTGAACATTGTTTTGGACTCCAATAAAAGCTAACTCCCCACTTAACGTAAGACCCCAGGCTGACTTTCTCTTGGGTGAAGAGATGTATATCCAAGCTGGGAAGGCCCCTTAGAATTGCTGGAGGACAGAGTGGTATTGTGACCAGAGTCCATCTAAAGATGCAGCTGTTAACTGCAGAATGTGCTGCAACGGGAGACGTGCAAGTGCAAGTGAAGACGCAGTAGGTTTCCTTTAATCCCCAGAACCTGATGCCCCCAGCCCGTGTATTTTCAGGTAGAATCCCTGTGGCACAGAGGTGGTGATGATAACCCAGAATTAAGGAGCTATGGGTACTGGGTATGAAGAGATGTGAGGTGACCTATGACCTTTTCATCGCTGGGGCGGGCCTGGGGTGGGTGGTGGTCGCGAAGCTCTGCTGTCCTTTTTCTGGGAACTTAATTTCTGGGCTGTGACCTTGCCGGGTCCACCCCACCCGGGACCCGCTCTGCCCAGAAGGTCTGCAGGCACTTCAGCAAAGAGGCATGAGCGCCTTTTTCCCCATGACCAGCATTTGGCATTCCACAGCTTTCAGCTGTCCAGGCACCCCTACACAGAGCAGAGCCCCGCTCTGGGTGCAGCGGGTGAGTCATTGGGTGTCCAGGCCGTTACCAGAAGGAGGGGCGGTGGTATCCTGTGTAGGGGCTGCAGAAAGGCATGAACAAGGGTGAAGCTGAGGTAGGGAACGATTTGGCTGGAGGGGTGTCCCCTGTCCCGAGGGCCTGTTTGTCTTATTAGGCCACCACAGGGTTATGTCATCTCAGACAGCCATGATGAGAGGTCTGCTCCAGGTAGGGTCTCTCCTTTGTTCACCTTTGCACTCTGAATCCACCCTGCTGCCCCAGACGCCATCTCAGCTAGTCCCCCACGCTCTGGGCCTCCTGCAGTGGTCAGAGGCTACAACTAGCTGTTGTGGGACAAAGCACAACACCGTATCTGCTGTCAAGCTGCCTTAACGCCGCGGTCTGGCACCCATCCCAGGGTTCCTTTATAGCAGCTCAAAGCCCGCAGCCTTCGAAGCTGGGGCCTTGAGAAGGCCCACCTACCGGCAAGGAGGGGCCTACAGGCCAAGAAACCCCAGGGCCTCTGCCAGCTTGGCTTGAGGAGATGGCCGCTGTGTCACACACGGCCACGGACGGAGGGACACTTGCTGGTGCTCACTGAAGAGGCTGTGGCGCTTGATCGAGTTCTCAGCCTCCCAGAGGCGCTGCACCCGCTGCCCAGCTGGTCCCGCCCACCCCTCGCCGGCTCTGCAACGCTGCTGGTCCACCTTAAGCGGCGTCGGCGCGGGCGGGGGGATTTCCTGCCGGAGGTGGGCCTGACCACGGGCCTATCCCACGCAGGGGCAGGGTGCCCGGTGCTTCCTGAGGGGCGCTCCACCCTGCCCCGAGGAGGCTGAGGGACTGGCCTGGCCCTGGGCCTTTCACCCACCCATACTCCCAAGCCTGCAGCTTGGGCCAGGACGCGGAGGGACCAGCTCCCCTCTGTCCTCACCCTGCCTGCTAGCTGTGCTCCGTCTGGCCTAGCCGAGTGGCCAGAGGGCTGTGAGCTGGGAAAAGGATAAATAACGAAGGTGCCTCTACACAATTCTGAACCCCTCGTGAATATCAGAGGGGGGAAAGCTCCCGATGAGAGGGGTCTGGCATTATCGAGGACAGTACGGAGTAGGGGCATTAGCCTGCCTGCAGGGACGTGCTGCTCTGAGGTGTTTAGGGACAGGTCTGTGCAAAGAGGCCCAGGAGGGGACTGACATGCCACAGCGACAGGGCCTGCGGGCTGGGAACAGGGTGCCTGGCGTCCTCTACGATGTCCACCTGGTGGGCATGGCCTGCGGTGTACTACGGCTGCGTGGTTTCGGAGGGCCGCAGGCACTCGCTGGGCTGGAGCACCGAGGCGAGTAGAGGCCCGCCTTCCGAGAGTCTGAGCGCCGTGCAAAAGGCTGACCAAGTTCTGCCAAGTGCGCACGCGCATGCGCGCGCGCGGCCGGGAGCTCCAGGGTCCCAGGCTTGGGTGGGCTTCTGTCTCCTGCCTCTGAAGGAGGGCGTGGTGGGGTTGGCGCTTTCTCCTGGGGCTTCGGCCCCGCCCCCTCACAGCCCAGCCCCGCCCCCTCACCGCCCAACCTCTCGCCCCTCGCCGCTGGGTCCACCTTAAGGGGCGCGCTGACATCAGCCGCCGCCGCGCCGCCCGTGGGGTGGGATTTCCTCCTCCTCTGCCGCCGCCGCCGCCGCCGCCGCCGCCGCCGCGGGTCCTGCGCCGTGTCCAGCCCGCCCCGCCAACCCCGGCACGACCCCGCCGGCCCCGCCCGTCCGGCCCCGGGGAGGGATGCGGCGGCGCGGCGCCCAGGATGCCCCGCAGCCCCGGGACGCGACTCAAACCCGCCAAGTACATCCCAGTGGCCACGGCCGCCGCGCTGTTGGTCGGCTCCAGCACCCTCTTCTTCGTGTTCACGTGAGTCTGCCGCGTCGCCGGGGGCGCAGGGGCCACAGCCGGGTCAGAAGGGGTAGGGATCGGGTACTGGGACCCGGTGCTGCTCCGAGGGCTGGGCAGGGCAAGGCTGGCACCGGGGCTTTAGGCATCGCGAGCCCTCACTCTGGGCTGAGGCTGAAGCCGTGAGTGTGCTTTTCCTGGGGCACCAAGGAAAGGTGAGTCCTATGTGTGGGGACACGAGTGCCCGGTGGGCACCTAATGAGTGGGCCAGGCAGGCCCTAGGTGTGAAGCACCGGGTCTGGACAGGAGAGTGTGCAGAGGCTGCTCAGGGTGTGGCTGCAGCCCTCCCCTCCCCAGGAGGGGACGTGGGCTGCCCAGAGCCACCAGCTCTTCCTTCAAGGAGCTGAGGGTGTCTCTTGAGTCCCCTCTGGCTGCTTGGCCAGGGGCCAAAGCCAAGTTGTTCTCGAGTAGGTATGGTATGGCCTGTCTCTCCAGTGCCTGCCCCACAGCCCCTGGTGACCCTGGCTCGGCAGTACCTTCCACCCTTCCTTGACCTTCTTCACAGGAAAGCCTAGTGATCACAGCTAGAGGGCCTAGGCCAGGCCACACCCAGGGACAGTGGTCACGGCGGGTATTGGAACTCTTGAGGCAGAAAGCAGTCAGGGCTCTGGGCTCCTGTAGCTTTAGCTTCTTCACCTGAAATGCAGGCTGCCTCACAGACCAAAGCGGTGGGCTGAGGCTACAGCTCCCCCCACACGGTCACGGGGGCTCCCCAAGTCTCCTTCTGGCACAAGGAAAGATTGGGAACTCCAGACTTAGCCGTGCGGGTCTGTGACCACCCCGTTCCACGAGTCCCAGGCTCAGACACAGACCAAGTGACCAAAGCAATGACCCTTCAGACCTCCCTGGGACCTGAGGCCTCAGGTGTGCTGGAGCCAGTGGGGCGGGCCTCTGTTCAGGGGCGGGTCAGCCCGAGTGTGAGTGAACCAGGAGCAGGGTGGGCAGGGGCTGGCATGGCACCCTTTCACATTAGTAAGAGCGAGGGTGGCCGCCTTGGGTATGATGAGTCTGCACTGGGTGCCTGTGGAGGCGGGAGAGCCCACTACCTGGACTCTGGAGCTGGGTAGGTGCCATAGGCTGCCAAGAGCGTGTTTAAAAAAGGCCTGTGTGGACGGGCTTATTTCTAGCCTTGGTGAGCAGGCGTGTTCTTGTCACTCAGATGCTGCTGACTGTGGGGCAGAGAGGAAAGGGGCAGGTGGGCAGCAGGCGCAGGAAGAGGGGGAGGAGTCCTTCTGGGCCTTCTGGGGAGTGGGGGGTCCAGTCCAGTCCTGGCTGGGGGTGCGGCAGGTGGGGCAGGCTGAGGGGTCTGAGGAAGCCTTGGCCTCTGCTTGCCCAGCTCAGTTTCTCATTTCCTAAGTGCAAGTTAGCATTTCTCATCCTAACTTTCAAAGT